TTGGCAGCTTAAATATGCGTTTTTAAAAGTTTTCGAGTTTTGGCGCTAAAAGGTTTTGAAATATCGATATTAAAGGGGTTGTGAAGGCAAGGAATGGAGAGCCTGAGAGTTGCTGCTCAGCCTATATAGCGCTCCTAAAAACTGTCAGCGATCCGAAAAAAATGTTCCCTCCTACTTGAAGCTCCATCCTAGCTACAAGTACATCCGGGAGACGACGGGGGGCAAAAGTTGCGTTACGTACATGAGCCAGAGAGGAGAGAGAGAGATAGAGAGAGAGAGAGAGAGAGAGAGAGATCGGGCTCTCTAAAAGGCCAATGACAAAAAATTAGACGTCGCGCGAAATAGGAGCCCAGAAGAGCTCGGCTAGCGGAAATCGGAGCCCAACCATTCACCCCCAAACACGTAATAGACGACCACCACCCCCGAGGGGGTCCCACGCCGACAACCACCGCTTCGGATTTTCCATCAAGATCCCATTTACGATGGGCTAATTGGGCGTAATACGACAAAAGGTCGATGATTTTGTCTGGGAGTACGAAACTTACCAATACATAGCCAGCTTTTAAAGATATTTGCTTAATCGTCGAAAATTTCAAGTGAAATCGGAGTTCAACTTATTTTCAAGCATCTAGAAATTCACAGTAAGAAAATAGGTATTTTTCGAAGTATCATTTCCTGAAATTCTAAATTTGGCGCTTTTTAGGGCAAACATTTTACCACCGCCACGAGGTCGCTAGGGTAAACACCGGGGCGTACACTTGGTGCGCGGCTCTATGGGTGAGTTGAGAATGTGATATGCGTAGAATTTATAATTCTCCTTTTGAAATTTGAGAACTACCTGGTTGATGGCATCACGATAAAACAGGTGTCACCGCTCCCTTAAAAGACTCCAAAGATTTTTGTTTTTGCGAGAAAGAGAACAGACAGCAAAATCGGTCGCATACGCTCTCTCTTATGCTCGATTTCTCTCCCTCTCTCTCGCCCTCTCGCTCTCTTCTCTTTCTGTGGCTCTCTTTCTCTCTGGCTCTCTCTCCCGCAGTTCTGCCTTTCTCTCTCTCTCTCTCTCTCTCTCAATATTTCTGCCTTTTTCTCTCTCTCTCCCTCTCTCTCTCTCTCTCTCTCTCTCTCTCTCAATATCTCTCCTTCTTGAAAAACCACCGGAAGCTCCAAATTGGCTCCAAGTCCATCATCATATGCCGCGCCCCAGCAATGAGGAAGCGCTATTATTTTGAACAGCGGGTAGGAGGCCAATTTAAATTTGAATCAGTCGCTGCGCAGTAGTGTTCTGATCACCCTAAAAAAAACGAAAACCGAAACCCTAAAAAATTTTAATTTCAGGGCACCAATTTGGCATAATCCGATTAGAACGGGGTTCCAAAATTTTCCAAACTTTCATTTTTTAATACCGTTGTTCAATTTTGCCGCCGTTCTGTTCAACATCTAGGAAGCCAGAAGATGATCAGGATCTCTGATGCTTGGAATTCGACAAAACGGTAAAAATATGCCGAAACGAGGGCTAGGTACCCTTAAAAAGTGGAGAAATGAAGATGCTTTTCGCCAAAGTTCGGGGCTCTCTGCACGCCGACTAAAAACTCATAAGGAAAACGCCCTCGGAATGTCGCCATCCATCTTTCGTATAATCCCGGGGCGAGGGGGGCCGCGTTGGGGGCAGGTTAAAGATTTTGGAAATAGTGGAGAGAATATTTTGAAAGATTAAAACTATGAAGAATCGTTTAAATATTTCAATTTTTTTGCCTGAAGACAAGCAATAAATAAATGTTCAATTTGGGTAGATCGATTTTTTCATAATATTTAGTGGGCGAGAGAGAGAGAGAGAAAGAGTCGGAGATAGAGAGAGAAACAGAAATTTTTTTGTAGCTACTTTAACTATATAACACGACACCAGACATACCCCAGGACAAACCGACCAGAAAATGTTCGCGCGTCTTCTTGGCCCCATCGGCCCTATAAGGGGTCCCCGATCATCAAAAATTCATTCGCCATCTTTCCGGGAATCCGCCCGGAAATATGAGACGAACCCAGCCTTGAAAAAGCCAAGAACAATTGGGCCTCCCGGATTGTTTCGGCACAAAAAGCTCCGGGAGGGTACTTTAAAAGGACAGGATTGAGAGAGAGAGAAAGAGAGAGAGAGAAAGAAGAAAGAGAGAGAGAGAGAGAGAGAGAGAGAGAGAGAGAGAGAGAGAGGGAGAAGCAACCGTAGCTTAGATAGAGATATAGTTAGCGGCTATAGACTAGCAGCTATGACGGAGCTTATGCATTAACGGGGGAGTGTTTCGGCAGAGCAGAATTTTCCGTAAAGTTCTATAAGTATGCCAACATAGCTGCAGGTACTATTAAGACCGAGAAAATTTTTAGAATTTTGATAAACAATTATCTTTTTTTTTGGATTTCGAGAAAAATATTTTCAGTTCTAAGTTTTGAAAGAATAAAAATTGGAAACGCGTTTTCTATTTGTTTCGCTTAAATTAAACCCCAAACGTGTTGTTTCCCAGCGTTAACCAGAGAGCACCCTTTAGCCCTATCGTAGCCCGGAAAAATGGGTTTAACGCGAAACCTGGACTAGGAGAACCTGCACATAAAATGGTTACTTTGGCCAATACTGTAGGATCCAGAAATGTATAGTTTTCCGAACCACAATCACGTCCAAGGCGAACCAATTGTCCGCATCTTTCCGCAAAAACGCAAAAAACATCTCGGAGACGATCTCATCGCCCGCTCCACATTCCCCAACGCTTCTAATCGGGTTTCGAGCACTGGGCCGCTGTGCGTCTTCTGGCGGGAACAACCCCATTTGGCGGCCAATTAGACGGAAAGGCCCAATTACGCACGTTTCTCGCAATTCTGAAGAGAGAGGAGCAGCAGGAATGGGTTCGAGGCTTGAGGAAGAGCCCTTTCCGCTTCCTTAAGGTCCGGACATGCTTCGCCTCGCGCGTTCCCTCCCTAATTTGCATAGAACGACCTTCGGCCTGGGGTTTGTTTGCAAAAATGTTTTTCTATGGGAAGGGGATCGAGAAAGAGAGGGATAGAGTGAGAGATAGCAAGAAAGAGATAGCTAGAGAGATACAGAGAGAGAGAGAGAGAGAGAGAGAGAGAGACAGACAGAGAGAGAGCAAGAGAGAGGCACGGTTTTCCGTCTGCTTTCCGATGCCGATACCAAGCAACTAATGGAAAAAGCTTAAAGCTGTCGAATGCAGGCAATTTGTTGGCCGGAGACCAAACCTTTGGCTCTGGAATGTGAGAGAGGGCAAGCGAGAGAAATAGAGAGAGAGAGAGAGCGCGCGCAAGCGAGAGCAAATAAAGTGTGTGTAATTATATTTAAACGGAAAAATCTCGCAACGTCCCTTCAAAATTCGTTCGATCGAAATTTATTTGGACGAAATTCCATTTTATTGAAACTTCTTTTGTAAAACGTAATTTTGCCAAAGCTTGATTTTGTCGGTATTTAGTTCTGCCAAAGTTTTTTCATTTTATACTTGCAAAAACCGAGATTTCGGGATCGAAAAATGTAGGGAAAGAATATCTTCTGAAAGAGAAATTTCGAAAAAATGATGTTTGACAAAGTAAGATTTCGACAACGTTTATTTCGATATTCTGATCATACAAAATGAAAATAATCTTCTCTAACTTAGAAAATTTTACATCCTGTTTTCGAACGTCTCAATTTCCGAATGAGGATCCCCCGGTGGATGATTCTCTTAAAAGGTTTCCGGTCTCAACGGCGAAACTTTTTCTTGCGAGTTTTCGTGAAGTTAAAAGGATTAGTGCCGCTGCCCGGTTACTAGCGGAATTGGTAGGCGCTTCAGAACATTTGGAACATTGGAAATTCGGAAAATTTGGGCCGGCTGGGCCCAGGTTCCCACGCAAAAGCTGCCCCGCGCAAGCTGACGACCACATCAACAACATCGGGAAATTTTTTGGGAATTACTGGAGTTGAAAGAACCAAAACGCAACTCGTAACCAGAATTTTTCCACGTGTACAATTTTTACGGGAAAACGGCCATAAACTTCAAGGACGTTGGGGTTGAATTGAGAAAATTACGATAGGCTGGCTCATGGGAAGAATTAGACGTCAAAAATCGAGAAAAAGAAAAAGACTGAATCCCAGGTAGTTATGGCACTAAATACTTTTAAATTATGAATGAATGGCTTAAATGAAAATGTTATCTATAGGAACACAGGCAAATACAAAAATTTTCTATCAAGTTGTTTTCTCCATTACAGGCCCTTGAAACCGTCAAGAAGAAGCTAACCTGTCAGCCATAGCGTTATCAGAACGTTAAAATCCTGAGGACTAATAAAATAAAGCAAAAATGAAGAACAGGTTCAAAAAAGCAAAAGGTATAAACTCAGAGTTTGTCTGTCATCAAATGCTTCAGCGAGCTGGGTTTGTTCTCTTCACTGTCGAGGCAACTGGGGGTGGCCGGAGTCTTTTATACCCCCCTCTCGGGGAATGGACCAGGTGGCGCGCGTCTCGGGGACGGAGAGGGAGCCTATCGCCGCCAGGCAAAATCACCCCTTTTCCTGGTGTTCCAGCCCCGAAAACCGTTAACAGTTTTTGTGAATTGGTTTCCATGGATTTGCTAGCTGCTATTATGTTCAAATATTTATTTGTCGAAATATCATTTTGGCGCACATAATTTTTCCGAAATTTCATCTTTCGCCTTGCTTTTCATATGTTAAAAAGGTATATTATTCGCCGCCCTTTTTATTCCAAAGTGAATTATTTTTAAACTGACTTTTATCCATTCAAAAGTCTTGTTTTCGACATGGAACCCTTTAATCTTTCACCTTATCGCGTCCTGAGGATTTTTGTGTGAAGCCGCCAGTTATCGATCAAGCGCACAGGAATTCATCTCCTCAAGACACTATGCAACTTGAGACGGAATTCCTTAAATCCTAAATTCAATTCTAAAACGTGAAAAATGTTTCGAAAAGTGTGGCTATTCCCTCTTTGCTTTGTCATTTGCTCGATATGCGGGATGTATGGAGGGTTTTTCACCGGCGTCTACCTCGGCCACTTCCCGTTGCAAATGAATTTTATCAGGTTTGGGAAATACGATATTATACTATGCAAAACTACTGCTAGAACTGCTAAAACTATATTACTGCTAGAAAAATTTACTAAAACATAAAAACCTGCAGAAAAAGTTGAGGTTTTGAGAATTTTCAATCAAAATTTACAAACTTTTTCCGTTTAGAAAAATAAAAAGGGATTTAGAAACAATTTACTATAACTATTTAAAAAATAGGAGATTAAGGGATGTTTCCCCTCACTCGAGTCTCAAGTACCCAAATGGTTCATTTCAGCGCGGTCGGCGCCCTCCCGCCCGAGCGCTACATTTTCGCCATGTTCATCAACGCGGCCGTGTTCTTTAGTAAGATTTACGTTCACATTGTGTAAGAAGTAAATTTAGCTAATATTGTAGCTTATGCTTTTCCAAACGCTGTAAAAGCATTTTTAGCTTAAAATTGCATTTTTGTAAAAGCGAGACGACTTTTTGCTGAAGACAAAATAGCCAATAGTCAAGCTAAAATTCGATCAAAGCAAACCAATCAATTTCAGTGGCAGTTACCGTATACCTCCGACATCGGCAGATCGTAGAATATTACGGCCATCGCCTGAGGATGGAAAACGGGGCCTGGCGTCTCGCCAGTACGGTGTTGACCGGCTTTGCCTTTATTTCCGCTTTCGGCATGTCGTTGCTGGCCAATTTTCCGGTAAGTTAATAGAAAATTGTATAGCCGGTTACAAGTGTATTTTGCGCAACACCGTCTATTAATATGTTTATTCCATTTTAGATAACTAGATTTACTCATTCAGGACTTGGACACACCAAAAGTCCGTCGCACCGGCGCAGCACTTGCGTTTTTGTTTGGAATCCTGTATATTTGGGGCCAGGTAGCTCCTGGATTCCAAATTTGTTCGAATCGTCGGTTTTCTTGGTTTCTTTAGCGTCTATTGAAATAAGGAAATTCGATTAAAAAGTCGGAACATTTTTACAAAAAAAGTTTTTACGTATGTTGGAAGCTGTTTCCTGGTACCATAAAGTAGCTGCAATTGAAACGTTTCTAAAATAGCACCCATTACAACCTGAATTTTCTGCACCAAGGTGTGTTAATATCACAATTTTTAGGTGATCTTTGGCTATATCATGACGCCGGCGATGACAACAAAAGCAATGGCTCATTTTCGACTATTCTTGGTGATCATGGCTACCGAATCGTTGATGCTTTGTAAGTTATGGGCTGTTTAAAAATCGGAAGAATATGCAATTAGTAGATATTGACAAAATTTTACATTTAGACGAGGTCGCTGTGAATTCGCGTCTATTTATCCCAGCAGACGCTGGCCCACGGCCAGCGCGAAGACATGGAATTCGCTGGTACACGCCGGACTCGCCGGTAAGCGTCTTTGGGTGTTAAGTGTGTTAAAAATTCGCATGTCATTAAAGGTATGGAAAAATCAGAAACTTTTTAGTACTACCTCAATCATATGGTCGCGTCGATTTCCGAGTGGCTGGGCGTGGTTTTTGTGGAAATCTTCATCCTAACTTTCGCGAATGAATTGCAATACGCCTATCTGAAGATTCCGAGGCTGCAGTTTATCAATGAGGGCCAAGGTGAGCTTTAAGTTGCCACTTTCGTAAAATTGTTTTTGCCTTTGAAAGAGTATTATTATAGCTATAAAAATTCGATGTTTTAGCAAACGGCGAGGACAATGAGTATGAAGAATCCCTAGCACCATCCCATTCGAGTTATATGGTGTATTAAATTGGCAAAAACAATTTTTCTGTATTTTTTCGATCCCAATTTGATCTCATTTTATTCAAATGTATAAATGGCTTTATATTAATTTTGCCTATTTGACGGTTGACGGCTCTCTCTCTCTCTCTCTCTCTCTCTCGCCTTCTTGCTTCCCGGCGTCGCGATCTCTGGAAAAACTAAAAGTACCGTGTTTCAAAACGTTAAAAACAAAAACTTAAAATAAAAAAGATCCCGTCAAGCTGATAGTCTCGAAGAGCCGGCCCTGAAGCCTACACTCAAGTTTCAACGAAACCCAGCTCTTGCTCAACCAAAGCCTCGGCTTGGTCCCCACACAAGATTTTCCGGCTGGCTACCCTTGAGGAGCAAGTGAAACACAGCACAAGCAACGGGAACAAGTTCCTATCCACAAAGACAGGTAAAGGCGAGGCGGGTTGGGGGCGGATCGTCGCGGAACTGGTACTCGCCCCGGATCCACGGCCCAGGATTAGCTAGCCCCCAGGCCACTTTTCACCCCTACCACCGAATCATCGGAAACAGCCCCCCCAGTTTTTGTTTGGGTAAATCCCATTAGCTTATAGCTGTTCCCCCTCTTTACACACCCAGATTCCATTGTTTTCCGCAGGTATAAAGGGTCTAGGAGCTCGAGTTGATGGCTCGGGTGGAACCTTCTTTTCAGAGCTACAGTACGCTACGACCATACACGACGCTAGAATACCATGTACGCAAGAATTGTCGTTGGAATTGCCCTGCTTCAGCTGGTGGCCGGCCATCCGTTTGATTTGGGTGGGTTGAAAATAGTTAAAATGATTCCGATTCCTTAATGGAATATTGCTTACCGTATGGGCTTCCGGGTTCCATATCGCGCCACGTCTCACGTTGCATGTCTCGTTGCGCGTCGTGGGAAAACCTTGAAATTACAAACGCAAATTAAGCCTCGCTCCGATCCCGCCAAACCTCATGCTCCATTTCCAGGGCTCTTCAACATCTTTGACCCGTTCCACCTGGGTGGAGGTGGACAGCAACCACAAACCCCCGCCCAGCCCGTGCTCCAACAAGCTCAGGGATACTCTGGATGTCAGCCTTGCCAGGCTGCACTGCCTCCGGCGCGCTTTAAGCGGTACGTTAAGCTGGACACTCCTGATTTTAAAGGTATTGGGACAGGGAAAAACTACATCGAATAGCCGATTTTTCTATGGATTTTGGATGGTTCATGAAATCAATTTTTAGCGAAGCCAAGGAGCTGACGATTGAGCACTCGGAGACGGTATCTTGTAACAACGAGGAGTACAGGGATATTTTGAAAAATGTGGGTTTCTTGCTCTCTCGCCCTCGCTATCTCTCTCCCTCTCTCTTTCTCTCTATCTCGCTCGCTCTCTCTCTCTCTCTCTATCTCGCTCTTTCTCTCTCTTTCTCTCTCTCTCCCTCTCTTTCTCTCGCTTTAAAAACCATGTTTTTTTAGAACATCAAAGAAAACGCCTACGAGTCGAAGCTGGCAATTTTTGCCGCCCTTCCGGATGAGGTAAAAGATGCGCTTTTAAGCTTCAACTAATTCCAGCTAAAATTCCAGGATCACCACGCCGTCGTCTGCAAAAACAGCCCCCAGGACGAAAAGCTGATCTTCGCCGCGCGAGCCGAGAAATTCTGCGCCCATTCGGCGAACAATATCACGTGTGCCTTGTTCCTAATGTGATTCATCGGTTCAAGAAATGCGCTTAATATTGGAAACATTAAATTAATAAATAAAGTAATTTTAAGAGCGGAAAAGAGGCTAAGTAAAAAGCTTACATAATAATTTCTAAACAATTATGGAGCGTTTTCTAGCTCTAATTAGCATTTCAGAGAGTTGAGTGGATTAAACAGCAAATATGAATGAAGTTCTTAGAAAATTTTTATTAAACTGACTTGAACTTCAAAATCGATAAAAAACCTTTCTATGCAATTTTTTAGAGCCTTCTATAGCTATGAGAAACCTCGAAAATATGGAAGCTCTATGGAATGTATATGGAAAGTCAAATTTAGCCATTTTTATCAAGCCGATCAGCCGATTCAGCTCCCCGAAAAAAAAATCGATGCCTTCCCTGGAGCCCACGAATTTTTCTAAAAGTTGATAACGACACCCGACGGGCTCACTCGTAATTCCGAATCTGTTTCATTGCTCTGCTGCGCTGCACTAAAATGCGTGCTTTGCTGCCGTTAATATTCATTTTTCAGTTTTGCGACGCCGCGTGAGTTTAGATATTTGCATTCGTAAAAAAATATGTTGATAGAATTTACACGACCCCGATCTACAATGCCACACGGGACCCCGCGATCAAGGTGCTGATTGGTTCACCTGGTAAATTTTAGGCAAATTGAGAACATGTTGAGCAGAAGCATTAAAGGCTACGGTAGCTAAGGCTTTTTAGAAAGGACAGATTTTCATTTCAATTAATGAATGATTTTTTAGTCCAAACGATGTATTGTAACTACATGGACGTCGATTATTTTGGGATGATTATAATTGATGGATATGATATTACGTGAGTAGTAATCGTGAGATCTTTCTGCATATCTCTCTCTCTCTCACTATCTCTCTCTCTCTCTATCTCCCTTTCTCTCTGCCCATTCAAACTTTTTAGTCAATCCGTCTCTGCCAAGAACATTTCTGTCACCGATGATGGTGAATTCACGAACGTCAGGTAGCCTGCGATATCGGGTTTTCTCAGAGGCTCCATTTCCCAGGGATACCGTAATCATTGCCAATATGCCGATCATCAACTACGATTTTCAAGTCCTAAATACTGGCGCCAAGAGGCCGAAAAATAAGATGTTCTGGGGAAACTGTAATCTGTTCATGGGCCGGTTGAATAATGTGAGTTTTAAATGACCAAAATTTTGCATTATCGTATCGTTTAAGAAACCTACTACCAAATTATATCTAACGAGGGTCCTAAACTATTGGAAAAAATGGTGTTTCTTACACATAAAAAACATAATTTTCAGGGCACAATGGTTCAACCGGTAAAAGGACTTGCCAAATACCTTGACGCGCCGATCCTGACGTACTATATTCAGAATTTGTAAGAATTTTGGTGTTTGTATCGCTTTAGGATGAGAAATCTGCAGCATACAGACTACAAAACACTCCAAACTAGCTCTTTTTGCGTTCGGAGTTTCGGTCTGTCTGCTCTGTGCCATTAGAATACCAACGTTTTCCGAAAATTTAACAAAATCTGATGTCACTGTCCCTTTAAAAATACATTTCCAGTACTGCCGACGTCACGATGGGCCAGATGACGCTTGGGGCGGTGGACAGCGAGCATTGCGAAAATTATAAGTGGTACCCGACGAATGGTGGAGAATCGTATTGGAATGTCTGGTTTACAGGGTAGGTTGCTTTCTCTCTCTCTCTCTCTCTCTCTCTCTCTCTCTCTCTCTTTCTCTCTCTCTCCCTCTTTCTCGCTCCCTCTCTCCCTGTCGCCCCTTCTCTCTGTCTCTCTCACCCTCCCTGTCTCTCTCTTGTTCACTCTCTCTCTCTCTCTCTCTCTCTCTCTCTGTCTCTCTCTCTCTCTTTCTCACTGTCTTTCTTGCGCTCACCAATATTTTCAGAGCCCAAGTCGGGAATGAAACCTTCAACCAAGCCGGATATGGTGCTCTCTATCTAACTGATGGCACTCACAATGTTCCAACCGCCGTCTTGCAGGCTCTGGTGAAGGCCGGTGACATGAAGTGGTACGCGCCGCAGCAAAAGGCAAGCTGAGATTTTTGGAAAGCTCTTAGAAGCAGTCGGCAAAGCAGTAAAAATGTCATGCAAAGCTCTCTTAAGTTATATAGTCTATTAATTCCAGTATCGCGTGCACTGCTCCAAGGCCCCGAAAATGCCGTCACTGACCTTCTTCATCCAGGGCGACCCGATGGAGCTGCAGTGGGACGATTATTTGGTAAGGAAAGAAACCGATACTAACGATTTTTTTGCCAACGAGCCGGTCGCGTCGATTCTCGTAATGGAGCACCGCAAACCAGATACGCAGGCACGCACGCACGCATTCACAAGGAGGAAAAAAAGTGTAGCATCCTTTTTAGGAATCCCACGATGACAGCTACTGCTACCTGATCATGGACGATCAAAACCCGCTACCCTTCATCTACACGGTCCAGTACTACTTCCAACGATACTTCTGCCTCGCTATAAACTACAGGACCTTGGAGGCCGGCCTCGGAAAAGTGAAAACACAGTTTTTGACGAAAACGAGACAATAATAAAGTATTTATATGTCGTTCTCCTACCCGCAAACTAGCGTATTGTGTTTACATATTCAAAGTCGAGGCAAACGGGTTCAAGTTTAACGAAGCCACAGGAATTCCGGGTCGCCGAACCCGGAAAATCGATTTTACGCCCATACTGGCGGCCTTTTGATGAGATAAGCAGTCGCCGGAATTTTTCAGGACTTTTAAAAAATGTTGCGACTTTTCTGCACTTTTATTTTTTGTAGCTTGTCGACAGCAAGGTATGTAAAATTCGTGACATTTTCTTGATTAGGCAAAATTATCCAGCATCTACGAAATTCCGATCTACAACACTTCACGAAATCCGGGCATTCTCGTGAAGATTGGGAATCCAGGTCTACAAAATTTCTTCTGAAATAGTACACTATGTACTTTAAGTATTTAAATGATTGTTTAAACATGATAAATTAGCTTAATTATCATTTGTTGTTAAGCGTCATTTCTCTTTTTTTAGCGCAGACAATATACTGTAATTACATCAACGAAAATCACTACGGGATGATTGTGGTGGACGGGTATGATCCGAGGTAAGATTTTAAATTTTTTTTATGGGTTTTGTATGTTTCATATGTACTAAAAATTATGTCAGCTAATTAATGGTTTAATTTTAGTTAAATTTATTGCTTTATTGATATTTAAAAAAAATTTTCAGTCAATCCGTGTCAGCGAAAAACATTTCCGTTGTGGAGAATGGTGATTTCACGCTTATGGAGTAAGTTTTCCACTTCAAGTGCTTCAAATTTGCTTGTTAAAATTCAATTTTCTAGCTCTACTAACCATGTTTTTTAGAGACACCATCTTTATCGCCAACATGCCCCTCACCTCCTATAGGTTTAAGTTTTTGAACTATGGGGCCAAGCCAAAAATGCGTCTAGTGCACGGGAATTGCAATTTGTTTATGGGGAGACTGGATAATGTGAGAACTCGATAATTCTAAATTGCTAAAAATTCTGATTTTAAGGGAACGATGGCATCACCGGTGGCTGAATTTAATAAATACCTTGACAAGCCGATAATTACCTATTATTTGAGCAATTTGTAGGTTTCCTTGAGAGAAAGAGAGAAAGATAGTGAAGAGAGAGAGTGAGAGAGAGAGCGAGAGAGAGTGAGAGAGAAAGAAAGAGAGATGGTGATAGTAAGAGAAGGCGCGAGTGTGAGAGAGGAAGAGAGAGAAAGAACGAGAACGAGAAAGGGAGTGAGAGTGAGAGAGTGAGAAAACGCGAAAGAGAAAGAGAGAGAGAGAGTGAGAGAGAGAGAGAGAGAAAGTGTTAGGAATGGAAAGGCTCAGCGTGCGAAATATCGAAATTAGGAGCGGAGGCCGATCTTTTCGCTTCCCGGTTTCCTAACTTTGATGTAAATTAAAGGTTCAAGCTCAGTTCAGCACGGCCGACCTCGAAATGGGACGCATGACGCTTGGTGCAATTGATACAACCCATTGCGGTGCCTTCAAGTGGTATAATACCTCGGGAAACTCGCAGTGGAACGTAAAGTTTACCGGGTAAGTCCGATTATTCGTTTAAGCTTCACCCTAAGCATCTGAGATACAAAATTCATGACAACAAAAACTATCATTTTACTAAAAAAGACTTCTATTTTATTAGCTACTCAATCGGAAGCAATTTTACCCCAGCCATCGGTTCTGGAGATCTGTACCTGTCCGATGGGATCTCGTTGGCTCCTAGCAGTCTCATCAACAAGCTAATATCTTACGGCAACTTTGAATACGATAATTTGTGGGATATGTTTGCTATTCCTTGCTCGGATTGGCCGGCCAATATGCCGGACATTGGGTTTAGGGTGTATGAGGACTATACGGTAATCATGAAGCCGGAAGATTACATGGTATGTGAGAGAGCGAGAGAGAGATAACGAGAGAGACAGAGAGACAGAGAGAGAGAGAGTGAACGTCAGAGAACAAGGTAGAGAGATATCATAAGTCTTCAGGAACAAATATATGACAATTGCTACATCTGGATCCGTGATGGTGGTGAGGCTCCGTCGGCATACTCTGTACAGTACCATTTTCAACGATATAGCTGCTTGGCGATCGACTACGGTAGCCTACAAGTTGGGTTGGCGCCTGTTAAATAAATTGTTTTTAATTATTGACATGTGAGACATCAAGTAAGAGAGAGATAAAGAGAGAGAGAGAGAGAGAGAGAGAGAGAGAGAGAGAGAGAGAGAGAGAGAGAGAGAGAGAGAGAGAGAGGGTGAGAGCGAGGGCGATTACGATTTTGAAAGTGACGGTGTCAGCAACGAATGGCCTCTAGTCTCAATTCACACGTTCACATTTCATGTCCGCAAACATCACCCGGGCGGCCATTTTAATTGGTCCCCCCCCAAAAAACTTGCGAAAAATGAGCTTTTGGCTCCCCTTCCGCACCTTTGAAAATCCGATGACACCTCATTAAAATCGAAATCGGGCTCAGAGTTCACCAACTGGCATCAAAAGTTCAAAAAATGGGGCTGGGCGTGAAGTTGGCTATTTTAAGAGAAGCAGAAAACAAGAGAAACAAGGTGGTGCAGAAATATGGTGTGGGATAGAAAAAAACGAAAGATCGGGGATGGTTGCAATATAAAACGGTGGAAACGCTGGATCGTAGAACAGTTGCTACGCTTACCGTAGCTTAAATTCCAGATGTTTTTAACTTTGACTAAGCTTTAAAGCGAATCTATTGAACCATCTCTCTTCCTTTCTCTCTCTCGCGCGCTCTCTCTCTCTGTCTCTCTCTCTCTTTCTCTCGCTCTCTTGCACATGTTGCTCCCGAAACCGCATAAATCATATTTTGAATGTCGCTTTTCGGCCAAAAAATGCTCTCAACGCATCCTAGTGCGTCTCCAATAGAGACGATTTTTGCGAAAATTTGGAGAACGGGAAGGCAACCAATTCTAGATAACTTTCTCGTTCTCACATGATTTCTCCCTCCCTCGCCTTCTCTCTCTCTCGCTCTCTCTCTCTCTCTCTCTCTCTCTCTCTCTCTACTCCAAGATTCAGATGAGGCTGCTCTTGTCGATCGCTGCTCTAGTAATTGTAGCTTCCGCCGCCTCTTCATGCGCTGACGTTGGGCCAAAATGCAAGGCATAACTATCTCTTTCAATTCTTGTTAATTCAGTGTTTAGAAATTTCTAACCGGTCTCCTCACCAAATTAACTGACAGCTTTACTGTGAACGACGAGGTGGTGTGCAAGGTATGTCACTTGAAATCGAGCTGAATGTCAAATGAGTTGATTTTTTAGGTGAGCAAAGACCTCGGAAACCAGGTGGTGCAGGGGGCTACATTTGAGAAATGTACCGAAGGTAGGGAAGCTCTCTCACCCCCTCGCTCTCTCACTTACTCTCTCACTCTCTTTCTTTCGCTCTCTCTGTCTCTCACGCTCTCTCCCACACTCATTCGCTCTCGCTCTCTCTCACTCTCTCTCTCTCTCCGCCGCTTCCTTTCTTTTCTCTCACAACTTTGAACTATACTTTTCAGCTCTCTCCAACAACTCCGACAGCTACGTGAGCACACTAATGACGACCAAAATCGCGTTGGCACCAACCTTGACAAGTTTTATGAGCTGCTTGGGAAGAATTGTAAGTTAGCGAAAAAAAGAGAAAGCGAGAGAGAGCGAGAGAGAGTGAGATAGAGCGAAAGGGAGCAAGATAGAGAGACAGGGAAAGATGAAGTGAGAGAGAGAGAGAGAGAGAGAGAGTTATGTCAATTTTCAGAACAAGGAAAAGGGCCTGTTCGACTTCCTGTCCGACACGCTACTGGTGGCCATCAAGAACAAGCTGAAAAAGGCGTACAATAACAAGGTAAGTTATAGTATCTGGAACTATACATTATTTGTATCTAATATTTTATAAGCAAGATCAGAAAAAAGGACTGAATTTAAGAAAATATTTATAATTTCAGATCCGCCCCAAGATGCTAAAGATGATCGAAAACGGCAAGTCGATAGCGCTGCGCCTTGAGGAGTCGTGCGCGTTGGGAAACGCAATGGCCAATGTCAAGAATATTAAGGCTATCGTCAAGGTAGATGGTTTGAAAAGGATAGTCACGCGTGGAAAAGCGCAGCATTCTGACGAAATTTTGAATTTTTACCCAAATTCTCAGAACAACATGAAGCTGACGTACAAGGAGACGTGGCAAAAATGCATCGCCGACGGGCTGATCAAGAAGGGATTCCTGAAGATCGGGAAGTTCATCGGTCCCAAGTTCACGTGCAAGCAGGCCACGCCTTCCGGATAAGCGACCCGATGGCTATGCATTAATGTCGGTCGACGATCATCCGTGTCAGGCTACTGGGTACAAATAAAGCGTTAGAAACTTCTGATGGATTGTCGAAACCTATGCAAATTAGCCCAACTCAAAGATACGCATCAATAGCCCGTGCGACTGTTGCTCATCTGCGACCCATTGATGTCAATTTCCAACCCAGATTTTCACAGAGTATGGATTTTAAAGTGCGGTAAAGGTATTTTCGGTCTTTTTACCTTTTTATGACTTCTCAGAGCCGCGACAGTGACGCCTTTATAGGTAGCGGAAGCGCGGCGTGCGCGTCGCGTGCAACGGACAGAATAAAATTTCTGTAGCAAGAGATTGCCCTTCAGCCTATCCGCTATGAAACGAGCATTAATGATACTAACCCTAAAAACTATAGCATTTCGAAGTCAAATCCGGCGTCAAATTTGGAATCGGATCGGACACGCGTTTCTGATTCAACTACACATTACGTAATAACACTTCTTATTATTAAGTATCAGATTGGAACGAAAGTTCTGTCGCCGAGATTTTGGAAGGCTGGCTAAATTCGTAGATAGCTCCATTCTGACATGCGATATGTTATTTTGTAGCTCTCGGCCTGAATGGTCCCGGGAGGAGGGTCCTGGGCCCTAAAAATCAAGAACGGCCGAGATACAGGCCCAAGAAGATTTTTTAAAAATCCTCTTTTTATAAATCTTTTTAAAAAAAAAATTTTTAGGGCCCAGGACCCTCCTCCCGGGACCATTCAGGCCGAGAGCTACAAAATGACATATCGCATGTGCAGAATGGAGTTATCTACGAATTTATCCAGCCTTCCAAAATCTCGGCGACAGAACTTTCGTTCCAACCTGATAATTGAGAAGCTTGGAAGTTCAGCCAAATCTTTCGATTTGGGTCCGGATTGGCCGTGAAAACACGTGAGATTTTTGTGTGAGACTCCTTTTCACGATCGTTCCTCCGCTTCCGATCAAAAGCCCCTCTGTCCAGTCCACTTCCGGACAAGTCCAACTGACGCCGAACTGGCGATCAAAAAATGCGTGGGTGGGGCGTGCGGAGGGTTTTCGATATACAGCCATTGGTCATTTTTGCAGTAATGCGTGCTAATTGGACTCTCGATAGAGGTTTTCACGCCATCACTGTCCGGAAAGGGTGTTTGTGGGCAAGTACAAACTGCCGGGCAGGGGTTGCCGCATTTTTTTGAAAGAGTTCGGGGATCGTACCCCGGTTACGGTATCGTACTCGAATCGCATGTAGAAAAACCAGCAGGAATTAAAGAAATCTATCAAAGCTAAACTCAAAACTTTAAAAGCTATCAGGGAAAATGGGTGTTTTCAGCCTGGAAACAGATTCTGGATATTCGAAAACCCATGAATTTAATCTCACTATTAGAAAATACGCTTTTTTAAATATAATTAAAGCAGAATCTTGTACCATCAGTTTCTGTACCCGTAGATATGCGGCATCTAAGAAACTTGCGAAGCCGTGGTGAATTGGTTCTAAAAATATAAAAGTCAACAGCCATACGAATTAATAACAAAAACTTACACAAATACGCTTCAAATAAGATTTTTTTGCTCGAGAAACTTCCGAAAATTTTCCAAACTACGGTCCAGTAAAGCCGACTTTCGAAAGGCTCACGCATTCGTTGCGTTTTTTTGCCCAGAAACATCATTGACAAACTGAAACTAGTTGGGGGGTCCGAGAGGAACCAAAAACGGTGTTCCGGTTTCGACGATTTTTGAGCGGGAAATTCCGGGGTTAGAGAGAGACAAAGAAGGAGAGAGAGTTAGACAGAGAGAAGCCTATAGCGCAGTTTCGTTTTTTAATTGTTATAGAGCCTACGGTGGATTACCGGCTTGGTCTATGGGGATGAAAAGTATGGCCAGGAATGGATATAAAAGCCCGTGGGAAGCTGGGTTTTCGAAAATTCTCGCTTTCTTTGAATTTAGACGTTTGCCGATTTGAAAGCCCGAAACTCGAACGGTAAGGTTGCGGTAGTCTCTCTCTCTCTCTCTCTCTCTCTCTCGCTCTCTCTCTCGCTCCTTAAATCAAACTTTAGGTAACCCCACAGAATGCTAAAGCTTCTGATCTCCGTCTCATGCCTGTTCGCCGCTACGCAGGCTGCCTGCAGCTACAGTGGCCCGAAATGCAAAGTATTTCCCAATTTCAATATTTTTCACTATTCTAGGATTTCATCAACACCACCCTCGCAAAACTGACCACCTCCTTCTCGGTCAACGATGACATCGTGTGTACGGTAGGCTACAAACTGCCCAGCATCATATTTTTGGGCTCCAGATCGCCAACGACCTCGGCAAGGCTGTCGCTTCCGGGATCACGTTCGAGCAGTGCACAAGTAGTGAGTCCCTCTCTCTCTCTCTCTCTCTCCCTCTCTCGCTCTCACTCTCTCTCCCTCCCTCTCTCTCTCTCTCACCCTCTCGCGCCCTCTCTCTCTCGATCTCGCTCTCTTTCTATGCCTCTCTCTCAATCACTGTTTTGCTGCCTCGCTGCCTCTCGCGGTCTCTCTCTCACTTCATTCGTTTAGGCCTCGCCGCCAACGGCGGCTCTTACAAGAGCAAGCTGGTCATGCAGAAGGCAAGCATGGCGGGGCTTCTCATGCAGTTCCAAGGCTGCCTGACTGAATGCGTAAGTCGACCAATGTGTAGCGGAGGATATCGTATTTTAGGGTGACGCCGACGTCATGGACTTCCTGCCCTGCACCGTACTCGAGGCAATGAACAACAAGCTGGCCAAGCCATACAAGCAGAAGGTGACCATTAGGGAGAGTCATAGAAAAAGAGAGAAAGAGAAAGAGAGAGGGAGAGAGATCGAGAGAGAGAGAGAGAGAGCACGAGGTATCAACAGTTTTCTTGAGATCCAACCAAAAATGGCCGAGATGAAAGCCGCCGGAAAATCGGAAGCCCAGCGAATGGAGGCCTCTTGCGCTTTGGGAAAAGCCATGGCCACACCGGCCCTGATTTCCGAGGTCACCGGGGTAAGCGAGAGACAGACAGATAGAGAGAAAGAGGGAGAGAGAGAGAGCGAGAGAGAGAAACATGATTTCTTAAGAAAACCATGTCGCTGACGTGGAAAGACACTTGGACGAAGTGCATTGTCAACATCGTGATGAAGCAGAATGTGATGACCCTCGGCAAATTCATCAAGCCCGCATTCAAATGCAAGCAGAGCAAGCCGTCTGGCTAACACAATTAAGCCCGACTGACTTAGGGTTCGCGATGTCAATAAATAATTCAGAGTTTTGCGAAGTCCACAAGGATATCGAGAGCGCGTGGAAGAGAGAAAAAAGAAAGCGAGAGGGCGAGAGAGAGAAACAGCAAGCGAGAGAGAGAGAGACAGAATGAAAAGGAGCAAGGAAAACAAAGCTTAAACAACAAATATTTATTGTTTAGTTCGCATACGAATTCATCAAATTGATCATGCTTTTCCTCGACTCTTCGAGCATCAGATTCTGAGCTTCAAGCTGACCGCGAAGATCATCTACATATCGCTGTCGGTCGTCGAGTTCAGCGACTGAAAAGTCTCTGTTTTTCGCTCGCTCTCTCTTTCCTTCTCTCTCCCTCTCTCTCTCTCTCTCTCTCTCTCTTTTCTCTCTCTCCCTCTCTTTCTCGCTCCTTCCAACAAACCCAAATGCGCCTGCTGCTCATCGAAATCCTCCTGTATCGCCTTCAGCTTCTCCTCCAGTTGTCGTATCTGGCGTGCATGCGTCTGCTCCAGGATGAAGCGCTCGACTCGAGCCTAAATACGCCAAATTCCGAATGACGGATAACAACATACCCCCAACTTTGGGATCAGCTCCGTTCTAATGACCCATTGAATGATCTCGTCAATGGTGCGCTTTTCGAGATGTTCTTCGTAGTGCTTGGCCATCGCCGGCGCGTCTTCGTCGAATTGGTCCATCACCCGGCGCTTCAGGCTATGCTTTTCAGATTCGAGGTCGACGTGGTCGGCCAGTTCGGCGCACTGAAAATGGTATCTGGTATCTAATTTACTCGACCGAAGCTTTCGTTTCCGTCTCAGTACTACTCCCTACACCCTACTATCCCCGCCTATCTTGTGCAGATTTTGATGCTGACCGAATTGGAAATGACTGGGCTAGAAATGCTATATTATTTTCCGCCCTTTAAAGCATCATAAATTTTTTTATGCCGATTCTTTAGAGGCTCTGAAATCTAGGTCTTATTCAGCAACAAATACACGACAAGCCCGCTTACCAGCTCCCCAAGATCAGCGACGCTTGTCTCGGCCAGCACGATGAGGGTGTTCTTCAACAGTTTGTGCGCATTTTCGCGGCTTCTTTCGGTGTGCATTTGCTAAAAATGTATCTTTGACAATACATGGAATTTCGCGCTTACAGTAAACTTCTCAAATAGCGCTTGCCTAGCCTCATTGACGGTCGGGCGGGGGCGAACGTCCCTAGTTTCTAAAAAATTGAGGAATTCATGTGAGAGAATGAGAGAGAGAGCGAGAGAGGGAGAGAGAGAAAGTGAAGGAGAGAGAGAGAGATAGACAACATAGCTTTTCAAGTTTTACTTTAAAATCCAAATTTTTCTTTGCAAATTGTAAAGCTGTATCTTGCGGCCATAATTTTGATTTTTTTGATCAGATTTTTATTAAAATGAGAATATATAGTATTTTTCCAGTTACCTGACGCCTCTTGAAATAAACTGACAACCTGCACAAACCTCGATCAAACAACTCAAAAGCCGCCTCCATACTTTCGGCATGTTTTTCGCGCAGCCGATCTGATTCGACAGCCTCGTTCTGGTCGAAAAGATTTCCTCCGCTTTTGAAGCCATTCTTATAGATTTTCTTCGCCTCCTTCACACTCTTCCCCAATTTTTCGGTCAGGGATCGTGTGTTATTTCGCTCGACCAGGTTCTCGCAGCGATTCTGGAAAAGAGATTAGACTGCGGCCATTGTAGGCTGTTTTTATTAAAGCAGCACAAGGAGAATAAAAATGCTATCTCTTAAAAAAATAAATAAAAATTTTTTGCAAAGCATGCCTTAATATTTGACTCAAAGTGTTCGCGGCTCGTCTGCTTCTCAAAGGCCGATCCGATGCATTTGACGGTGTCGTAAACCTAAAAAAGTTCCGAAATTACCCGAGGTAGGGCTGACCACTCAAAAATTCTTATAAAATCTTCATTGACCAAAACATGACGGGTAATGGCTACCTGAAGTGCAGCTTGTACAGCTTGGTCCGCCTGTCGCTGGATCACGGTGGGAGGTACGCTTTCATTGATGGTTGCGGCGGTGATCTGAATTTAAATGCATCAGTGTATGTCTCTCTCGCTCTCTCTCTCTCCTCCTCTCTCGCTCTCTCCCCATCTCTCTCTCTCTCTTTTTCTCTCCACTACCTTCTGAAAATGACCGTCAAACACATCATTCCCAGCCTTTTTCGCGAGTTCGAAAGTGAGCATAGCGGTGGCCTAAAATCTTAGGTTTCTAAAAACTGCCTAATTTACCGTACCGTGAAGGCGGAGCTGATACACTTCAGGTCCATTGACTTGATCTCATCGCAGATTTTCTAGATTTTCTTGAATTTTTTGCCTGGAGTAAGCTACCTCGACATAACTTTTGTAGAGCATGCCATTCAGCTCGTTGCCGAGCACCGTTTTTGGCTTGCAAGACGTAACGGCGTGGTCGGCGCACTCGTTTAATTGCTCCAGGAATTGATTGCCACAGTCTGGAAAACTCTTGAATGAATGAATCTGCCAGCTTGCCCAGGTCTAGGCACGCTAGCTCAAAAATTCTCGCTGTTAGTTGGCTCTAGGCTTCCGGTTGCTCCTAAACAACCACTCCGTCAAGGATTTGTGCTAGCTTGCCCAGAACATATCTCCGATCCCAAATAGTCCCTGCTAATTGGCCTCTTCCTCTTGTTTTTACTTTTCCTTTACAGTTTGCAATCCTTACCCTTAGCCAAGATTCTGTCACTGGCGGTGCGTACGGCGTCGGCTGGTGGGACAAGTAGACAAGCATCAAGCTAAATTTACGAAAAATTGCTAATAATTAGAATTCTACCTTTTCGAAGGCACTTTCGAGATCTGTCATCATTCCAAGGAGTTCGGGGGAGCGACGAGCGGATACCTAAAATGAATTGGACTGAAGATTAAAGCTGGGACTATTTATTTGTATTGTTGACTATTTTTAAAATATGTTATTTATTTTGATGGCTGTAATTAATTATATTAATTGTTTTTATAATAACGATCTGCTTATTTTATTATTATTATTAGGAACACTCAAAATCCAATACCTTCACGTAATCCAGATATGCCTTGCCATGCGCCAATCCCGTATCTTCAGCTTGGTCGCGGATTAGGAAGAAGAAGTTCTGAAATTTTGGAAATTTGATGGAGCCTTAAAGGGAGTGGAAAGTGCCAACATTGACCTGCTCCGGTGGCTAGGTCTAGACAGTTACGCAACTCCTCTCTACGCTGTAAGCTTTATAAAATTTAAACTGTAGCTAAGGAAATCAAATTTCCGTGCATGAGAGCGCCTGCAATTTAGTTGTGTCTTCGCGCGTATCTGTCTGGACCCAGCTCTCAGAAAGGGTTGAAATTTTTCGTTTGTAGCCCCTTTAAACCGCCTCACCTGGCCGATCTTTTCCTGATTCTTTCGAGCCAGCGCTAAAAATGACGAGATGTGGGCCAGCTGCTGGGAGTCGATCAGCTCTTTGCTGTTTTGAATCTGAAACGAGTCGCTCCCTCTCACTCTTTCTTTCTCTCTCTCCCTATGGCAAAAGCTTACGGTAAAGGAAGAGAGTAGCAGGGCGATAAGTGAGGTTCTCATCGAGAGCTCGGGCTCACTCTGGGTATCGAAGGTACCTTGAGTGTCGAGTAGCAGCATAGCCATCTGAAATTGTTAGAGTTCTCTTTCTCTCTCGCTCTTTATCTCTCTCTCTCTATCCCGATCTCTTTTCCACTCTCTATCTCTCTCTGGCTCTGGCTCTCTCTCTCTCTCTCGCTTTCTTTCTCACTCTCTCCTACCTCTTTTCCATCTTCTCCCTTCTTTTTGAAGATCTTTGGCCAAACTTGAATTCCCATCGTGTGCGCAACATAGCCAGTTTGGAATGGGATCTGGCCGGGACCACTAAATCGGCATAGAGTATAGCTTAATATTGTCTTAATACCCAATGACTTCATCAGGAAGATAGGGCTTTTTATCTCCTTTCTGCAGCCTTCTCAACAAAGAATTGCAGGTGAACGATTTGCCGCCGCGGAACTTGCCGGTGATCGCGATAACTCCCACCTGAAAAACTCGCCTTAAATTTTTCTAATTCATTATAATGCTAGTATGCTTTTTTACAAATTCTGAAACGCTAAATCTGGATTTTTGAAGCCAATATCATCGTCAAATCACGAAAATTTAATGGATTCAGGGTTTTTGGCAGGAAACCCTTAAAAAACCGGTTTTGACTATTCAATGACAGATAAAAATAGATTTTATATATTTTGAAAGATTCAAATATATATATAATCAAATTAATTATGCTATAAAACTAATTTTAGAAGGAAAGAAAACGTTGAGAATAAAAATTCCCACCTGCCGATCCCCAATTTCGGCGCATAGCCGCTCCAAAAGTGGCTTATTCAAATTGATTCCGGTATTCGTTAGACTAATCAGAGTCTCCATTTCTAAATCAACCGAAATAGAAGAGCCGAAACCCGGGAGAAGCCTTGAAATGAGGGATGGCATTGCCGGGGAAATATGTGATAAAGGGTTTTTTGCTGCAAGGCCTCGCGACGGCCGTTTTCTTCTGCAAGATATTGGCCGGTGGGATAAATGGCGAGAAATCGATCGCTTTGGGGGTCGTTTAAGGGATGCAACGTGGCAAAAATCGTGTAATAAATGTGGTTACTATTCAAAATTAGCAACACCTAATTTTAAAAAAGTACCGTGCTTTCCATTTCTCCATTTTTCAAAAAATTCAAATTTTCTTATAAATATCAGCCTGCAAAACTACTAAAAACCGTACAAAAATATATTATTTATAACTGACAATGACTGAAAAAATCAAGGTGGAAAGGCTGTAAAATGCCCTGAATTCTCCATAAAACAGCTTTGTTTTTAGTAAAATTCGCAAATAAATTTTAATTGTCACCGATCTCGGCAAAAGAATACGAACACTTATTCCTAACCCATTGGGTAATTTTTGATCATTTGACCCTCAAAAGCGATTCGGAAAACAAATTGATCATTTTCCGGTCTTCACTCCCCACCTTCTTTCTGTTTTTCTCATTTCCGGAAACGAAATTCAATTCCCTGTTGACAAATCAGACATCTAGAGACCATTTTGAGTCAAAAAGTCCTTAACAAATTTCTTTTCTACTTTTCTAGGCTTCAGAAATTTTCAATCACACACTTTGAAGCGTTTTCAAATACCAGAAACGTGTAATTCAAAGGAGCTTTTGAGAGTGAATGCCGGTGACCCGCCAAAAACCGGCCGACAAGAATTATGTTGCCCGTTTTTGAACAGATCGGCCCGTGAATCAGCTGCCAGCAGATTTTGGGTCGAATTTGAGTAGATTCAACTGAAAGAGACGTTATAAATAGTTCGATTTCCACCTTATCATATCCCAAGACCAGAAAATGATTTCGAAACTGATTGTATTCTGCGTGTTAGTTGAGATCAGGCATGTTTCAAATAGTTTACGATTTTTGAAACAGTTATTATTTTATATAGCGCATTTATTTAATGCATTCTGTCTAAACTATATATTTTAATACCCTTTTTTAGCATCGGTGAGCCTTCACAACGCGACATTACCGGCAAGGTATACTGTAATGCAAATCCAGCAAAAGGGGTCACGGTTTATTATTATCGGCCTCGCGACACGAACGGTGGGAATCTATCACTTAAAAATCTTCATTGATGAAAAACTTGAGTATTGATATTTTTTAATTCGTATTGACAAATCCAATCAGTTTTTTTTTGGGCCGCTTGACTGATTTAAATTCCGTCCCAATGATCTTAAAGGAACCCCGAAGCCAGGGGGGGCGAAATGCTAGTTTTCGACATTTTCGGTATTTTAACAAAATTTCCAGAGTACATAGCATCAAAAATACACCAAGAATTGCATTACAAACCAAAATAACGTAATCTAAAAATTATAACAAATGCAAAAATAACCCCTAAAAATAGGGTTTACAAAATTCCTTTAAGGTTTTTCGACAGAGCGTAACAATATACGAATCTTTTGAAGTTTAACCGAAAATAATTAAAAAAAAATAGCTATAGCAAAAATATCGGAAAACCCCGAAAAAAGGTTCAATTCTAGTCTTCGAAATTTTTGAAATTTTTATGTGATTAAAAAGTTATGTAAAAAATGTCAATTTCGGCCCGAATCCGGTAAAATACAAAAAATTTTGCTCCTAACCACTCCAACCAGTCGTTTTAGGCGCTGTCTGGGATCCGAAAGAAAACGCTACAGTAGGAGAGGACGGAATTTTCACAATTACGGTAAATTTTTAGCAATTAGTTATATGTATGTTTTATATTTATATTTTATATTTAAACACTATTAAAATGTTTTCAGCCGCAGGCTATGAAAATGAGCGGTTTTCAGGTATCCGACTACAAAAAAAACAGCTTCGTCCGAATCCCGCATCGCTGTATGGAGAAACCCTGGGTACGGCTACGCCGGACTCCGATGTACAAACATTTTAGCCCAATTGCAATGCCGTTGCTCACGTCAATGTGAGGGAGGCGGTAACGGAGGCAAGTACAACCTTGGATCCCACGACGCAAACCGCAAGCACACTTGGATCTATCTTTCCGGGTCAGAATCCAACGGTAAGTTAGAGAGCGAGAGAGAGAAAGTGAGAGAGAGAGAGAGAGAGAGAGAGAGAGAGAGAGAGAGAATGAGAGGGAGAAAGAGCCTGGGAAAGTAGAAGGGAACAGCGTCAGAAAGTGGGCAAGAGCGAGAGAGAGAGAGAGAGAGAGAGAAAGAGAGAGCGAAAGAGAGAGAGAAAGAGAGAGCGAGAGAGAGTGAGAATGAGAGTGACAAGAGCCTGGGAAAGTAGATGCGAAAAGCGTCAGAAAGTGGGCAAGAGCGAGAGAGAGAGAGAGAGAGAGAGAGAGAGAGAGAGAGAGAGAGCGAGAGAGAGAGAGAGCCAGAGCGAGAGAGAGAGGGCGAAGGTTGTGAGTGAGAGAGCGGCAACTCATGATAATTACAACGCCAAACTTTTGTACTCTTTTCCAGACAGTGGCTCCTCCCCCCACAACTACTGGGGCCCCAGGGGTGGTAGGTTTTTTTGTAATTTCACCAACACTTTTGGTGTTTAGAGTACCGAGATCGACATGGGCCGCCTGGACCTCGACAATCTGCGCAATATCGAGTGGGAATGCAAGGACGGGAAGAAGTATCCGCAGCTTCTCCGCTAGACAACAAAATTGAGATTCGTCACATCATTTTATTTGGTTTTAGATTTGTTTCTCATTATTATGCTGCCATTCATGTGAATAAATTTTACGATTACATTCTCGAGAACCTCCTTGAATTTACATTAGTTTGATTTAAAAACCCTGCGGTCATCCCAATTTGTTTTTTTTTACATTTTGCAACTTCGGCTATTCAGCAAAGGTGCTTTTGCATTAACGGGGGGGGGGCGTTTGGCTACGGTTTACTACATTGGCTACACAGCCGGATAAAATTCGATAAAATAAGCAAAAATACCAAAAACTTTCTAAAGGGTAAAGTAAACTCTTACCGAACTTTTTCCTCATACCCTACTCCGCTTTCCGCTTTTTACGGATTTGAACTCTTAATTTCGGCGTCCATAAGCTCAAAAAGGACTTGCGCGGATTTAAATTTGAAAACAATATCTAAACAATCCTTTAGATCATGAATTTCGGACGAATCGGCCGAGAACGGGCGCGGCGCAGCTTGCGCAGCTTCGGGCCCGTTGGAGAACGATCCGGCTGGCTGTGGGGACGCTGAGAGGCGCCATATCCATACCTTGTTGGCACCATTTTTAATAAATTTTCAATACCTCAATTCTCGTTGATAACAAATAAAGATTCTGTGCTTCCCTAGCTACCGCACCTGCGATACCTTTGCACTCAATGGGTTGGAATTGACGGTTTTGAGTTGTTTTGCGATGTCACGCGGCTCACTCAATCTTGAAATCTTGAAATCCCATTTTTCAAAAAATCCAGAGCGACTACGGTGGTCGAAAAAACCTCATGTCGTCCCTTTCCTCAATTTTCTTAATTTTTTCTCATATTTTTTTTGTAAAACGTTTCGATCTAAATTATTTGAAAAATGGGTAAATCACAATTTGGTGTCGTCTACTATCTAACAAATTCGCCGAATTCTCGCGCGTTCCAATCCCTTTAAATCATTTTTCTACACGAAAGTTCGGAAATTTCGCAATTCCCGTGTTTACTCAAAACGTCCCACGTGAGTCGAGCACAATTTTTTGAGTTTTTCATAAATTCTGTAACTCCTATTCATCTATTCAGCCCCAAAAACTGGTCCCCTATTTGCAAGAGTTTCCTTTTTAAAGTGGGGTCCTGATTCAGAGGTCGCCTTTTCAATGCCAATTTTATAAAATAACCAGCTGACCCTCGAGGGTTTATCATTCTCGGCAATTCTCCCGAAAGAATGCTCCTGCCAGCCGTCATCGGACTGATTTCGTTCGGGTACGGTAATGTTGTTTGGCGTACGGGTACGGTCAGGGCCGTAACAAACCCAAATTTCGGGGGGGGGGGCGACCCCAAAAATTTTTCACTAATATGACTAAAACTACAGCGCCGCAGGCAAAGTTTTTGAAAACATAGGGTTTATAACACTAAAACTAGTGTTAAAAATAGCCAAAAACAGCGCCGCAGGCAAAAAATTTTTTGGAAAAATTAAATCGTAAGGGTCCCCCCTTATGAACTTTTCGGCCTTCGGCCGATTTCGGGGGGCGGCTCGCCCCCCTCGCCCCCTCTTACGGGCCTGGGTACGGTATTCCGTATTCTGCGTAACATAGCAAAAAGTAAATTTTAAAAATCGTTGATCGAACGTTTTCAAGGTGCATTGAGCCGCTCTTTAAAACTCGCCAATTCCAGGCTCGCCTCAGCCGACGGCCTAGTCGCCCAGGGAAAAATCCTGTGCCAAGGCCGTCCCGCGCAGAATATGCCCATCTACCTCTACAGCAGGGGTGACCCCGGTTCGTTTTTTCTACTTCCGATTCGAATTCGGTTAAACACCGAGGCTAATAACCTTTAAAATTGACGCCTTCAGCCTCCTGGGTCTCTATAATTATTTTCGGGTCCATAGCTTCAGCAAAAAAAAAATATTTTTTCCGGTTTTAGCATCATCGGGGGGGCGGGGAGCGCCTTACTCTTTAAATTCTGCTTTAAAATTCAAATTTATTTCAAAGGGCTTGTAAACCGTTTTGACAATTCCTAAACGTAAAACTACCGCAAAATTTTATTGAAAATCCATAAAACCAACGTTTTTTACCTCAACAAAGGCCAAATTTTCACCAGAATGTACTCCGAAAAGTTTGCTCAGACTTTTTACTTTACTTTTTTTTCAGAAAAATTGCTCGACACATTGGATTTAATATCTAGATACTGTTGCTAGGCATTGCTGGCCTTATAAATTTTTTTTAAGGAAGCAACTGGTTCCACCCCATCGCCGAAACGCGCTCGAACGCGAACGGCGACTTCCTGTTCCAATTTGCGGTAAGGACTTTCGCAATAATCGAAAATTGAAATAGGATTTTAACATTTCCTCAAAAATAGCTGCTGGCCTGTCCAACTTTCCAACTGTCCAACTTTTCCACGGGTTTTTTGTAATTTCGCTTCAGGGACAACGAATCTCCGACGACAGCTACCTGCAGATTCCGCACCGTTGCGCGTATGTGACGCCGGTAAAAATATTTCGAAAATCCGGAATCTAGGACTTTTAGAATAATTGTAACATGCTCGCCAGCTACCCGGTCGACCGACGCTACATTTCTGGTGGGAACAGGCCATCTGTAAGTAGAGAGATGGTGAAAGAGAGAGAGACAGAGAGAGAGAGAGAGAGAGAGAGAGAGAATAGAGAGTGTGAGATAGAGAGAGAGACAGAGAGAGAGAAGAGAGAAATAAAGAGAGAGACAGAGGTAGACAGTGAGAGATAGAGAAAGAGACAGAGAGAAAAGAGAGAGTGAGAGATAGAGAGAGAGAGAGTGAGCTAGAGATAGAAGGAGAGTGAGGGAGAGAGATAAAGAAAGTGACAGAGGGTGAGAGAGTGACAGATAGTGAGAGAGATAGAGAGGTAGTGAGGGAGAAAAGAGAGAGAGTGAGAGGGAGACAGAGAAAAAGAGAGAGACAAAGAGAGTGAGAGAGCGATTGAACGAGATCAGTGTGAGAGAAAGGAGAGAAAGAGAAAATCAGAGACCAAATAAGAGAGAGAGAGCAAGTGTGAAAGAAAGTGAGAGCTAGATAGGGAGGCAGAGAATGAGATATCCTCACTGCGTCAATTTTTTAGTACACCTGGCAAGTCGGCACTCTCGAGCTCTCCGGACGCTCCGATCAGCTGCAATGTCAAGGAAAGAGAGTGGTATCTACTTAACATAGCTTCTGAATGCACTTTTCAGCTCAAACAAGCCGAACCGACGGAACAAGAACTTCCGGAAGATGGGCTAATCTGTACGGTCGGCAGCGTTGGGCCTGTGCCTGGAGAAGAAGGCGAGACTTCTGAAGGCCATAAACTCTGCGTCCCCGTAGTCGTCGGCAGAATTGCGGACATTACTGACGAGCCAGCGGATGAGTCTGCTACCGTAAGAATTATTTGATTGATCTTTGATTCATTGATCGAGCGTAGGAGTTACTGTAATTTAATTCAAGGCAATTTGCATTTCCTAAGACTTCCCATTACTACCAGAAATTCTGTCTTTTCCAGCCGACCGAGCAGATTCCGTGGCGCTACAGGGGACACTTCTGAATTTCAACAAAGGATTTGAGTTTACAGATTTAATGCTATAAACTACTGCATGAATACACATGAAACTAAATACAAAAATGTGCCCTTTCGAGATGGGATGACAGTCTTGTGATCTCTATCAGATGCCGCTTTCTGCTATTTTGTGATCTCAAAGCTGATCTTTGGATAGTGTGAGGGAATGAGATGGAGCGAGAGAGAGAGCAAGATAGAGAGGGAGTATGAGATAGAGAGAAAGGGAGAGAAGGAGAGTGAGAGAGAGGAGAGAGAGAGAGAACAAATAAGAAAGCACGCCGGGAACAATTCTTGTGCTTTCCGTCTTCACGCCAGAAATCATGAATTGCCAGCCGAATCCAGAGATTTTTAAATATTAAAATCGTGGAAATTTTTTTTGAATTGAGCAAAAGAACTAGAGAAAAATGAGAGAATGCGTGCGAAAGAAATTTGAATTTTTAGCATCTTTTTTGATCTTTTCGTCTTTCCCCCAATCTATATCGTCCGAAAATTACCACCAATAAAGATAAGGATGCTTACGTGTTCCGTTTTTGCCTCTCTCGCAAAGATCAGAGTTTTCTGGTGCTTTTTGAGGCTGTATAAATCGTAACCAGCCACTTTCCCGCGATTTTCCGTTTCCGGGGAGTTATTCAAGGTCACCGGGTTGTCCCCAAAAAAGTTCGGAAAATCATGGACCTGCCCTTTCGATGGTCGCTGTTTAATACAATTTTCTCATTCCCCTGCCTAGCTTCCTTGTTTTTAATGTTTTAATCCGGTTCAATTTTGCAGAAACGTTTCGGGGCTGATCATTCGGTACTGGACTGTTAGCGGGGGTGGGGAGTAAATTTTTAGGGCAGTGGATTTTTAAAGCTAATTTCTATTGTTTCGCTTGCCCTACCAGTCTGTTAAAAAATTATATGATTTTTTTCGGTAGTTTTGGATCGCTAGAAAGTTATCAAAAATATTTTTAACAATTGTGAAATTTTAGAAAATTAAAAATCAAACATTTCTAAAGTTTTTTAAGGTTTTTTTATGTTCTTGTAGCATCCAAAAATTGGATAAAATTCTATTGAAATAGTGTATATTTTTGCAAAAATTTGTTTTCCCCACCAGAACCCCGCCGTCCCCCCTTTAAGGGGCCAGTAAATTAAAGTCAATCAAAATTAAAGCTAATTTCTATTGTTTCGCTTGCCCTACCAGTGTGTCAAAAAATTATATGATTTTTTTCGGTAGTTTTGGATCGCTTGAAAGTTATCAAAAATATTTTTAACAATTGTGAAATTTTAGAAAATTAAATAATCGAACATTTCCAAAATAAATTTTTTAAGGTTTTTTATGTGCTTGTAGCATCCGAAAACTGGATAAAATTCTATTGAAATAATCTAGATAAACGTCTTCTGATTGGCCCCCTATTTTTCTTTCCGTATTTCTTATTTATGACAATTTTCAGGGTGAATAAACCTAAATTGGTTGAAATTCCGGCATTATGAAGTTGATTTTATTATTCGCTATATTAACTACCTCCCTGGCTGCCTTAAAAATCCTGATATTCAACCCCGCATTCGGGTACAGCCAGTCGAGGTTCATGGGCGTGATTGCGGATGTTTTGAGTGAAGCCGGGCATGATTTTGTGAGTCTCTTGTCGTATTAAAGGGATTATGAAACGCCAAAATCGACCCTTTACGGCCACTAGGTCTCGACAAAGCATACTTTAAAAATGTCGAAATTGGTAATATGGAACTGGATATCTGGAAAATTCATAACGTTAAAATTTTGTGGATTTCACATCATCGGGGGATCAACCTTTTTAGAATCTAATTCTGCGAATATAAATAGTGTAACTGTTTTTAAATGGTTTTCCACTATTTCTAAACTTGTAAATTTTACAAATTTTGTTAAAAAACATCAAAAATATCGACATTCGACCAAAATGCAGACTTTTTCAACATGTTTAAAGTTTTTGGACTGATGACTAGGTTACCAAAAACATTACTAAAACACTGCTTATTAGCTTACTAGGCATTTCTAGACTTATATAAAAAAAGTTCAAAATCGAAAAATCATTAGAAATGTGGGTTCCAGACCGAAATCCGGCCCACGATTGACACGCGGCTGCTCGATAAGTGGGTGTCGAACACGCAAAAAGTTTTGCGATTTCCTGTGCACCCGGAAGTTGATTCAATCATGGTACTACTTACCTGGAAAGACGATCGATAATTATGCGTTTTTAGACAGATTTTTATGGCCCGGATGGATTTATGGGATTGATGTGGACAATGGATCTTGGGCCCGATAAAGCCCAAGTGGTAGGTGAGAGAGGAGAGAGAGAGAGAGAGAGAGAGAGAGAGAGAGAGAGAGAGAAAGAGAGAGAGAGGAGAAGAAAGAGCAACGAGTCACTTTTAATTTTCCAGCTCGCCGTCAACATGACCGAGATGTTCACCCGTGCCTGCGATCATCTGGTGCTAGAAACCGACCTATTCGAGCAGCTCAAAAAGGAGAAATTTGACGTCGGGTTGAGCGAGTCGTTCGACAATTGTGGGCACGGTGCGTTTTTGAAACATAAATAATGTAATAGTTAGAAATTGAATCTATTTTAGTATATAAAATTTTATATATTCTTTATTAATAAATTTAGGAATCTTCGAGGGTATAAAGCTAAAAAATGTGATTACCACCTCGAGCATGCCAGTGATGGACCATCAGGCATTGTTATTAGGAATACCCAGAGTTCCTAGCTACGTTCCAGGTAAGGAAGAGAGAGAGAGAGAGAGAGAGAGAGAGAGAGAGGGAGAGACAGCGAGAGAGAGAGAGCGAGAGAGAGAGCACTTAGCCCCCCTTTTTCAACTCTCCAGGAACCCAAGCCCCATTCTCGGACCAAATGTCCATCGGTCAGCGCGCCTTCAACACGCTGATGTCACACTACGGAGCTCAGATGTTCCTCGACATGGCCGAAAAGCAGACGAAGGCGTTTAGGAGGAAATTCGGCGGAGATTTCCCTGAGATTCAGGTTTTCGAATTTTCCGCTGGGCAAGAATTTGAGTTCCAGGATCTAATCTCGAGCTCAGCGATGTTATTTACAAATGCCCAACCCTTTCTCGATTTTCCGAGACCAACAATTCACAAAGTCGTCGACCTGGGCGGTATACACATTAATGAGACAGTTGTGGATGAGAATAAGGTACAGTATGCATAGTCTATCTCTCTCACTCTCGCTCTCACGCTTTCACTCTCTCTATCTCACTCCCTCGCGCTCTCTCTCTCTCGCTCTCCCGCTCTCCCGCTCTCTCGCTTTCTCTTTCTTTCTCTCTCGCTCTGTCCCTCTCTCTCTCTCTCGCTCTCTGTCTCGCTTTCTACTTCAATTTTCAGGATTTCGACAAAATTCTCTCGAGAAAGCCGAAAACCGTCTTGATCTCCTTCGGTTCGGTCGCCAAATCCTATTTGATGCCTGATAGTTATAAGAAGTCAATTATTACGGCTGTCAAATCACTGCCAGGTCTTGCAACCAAACTTAGAATACAGTTTTTTTTTGCATTTTCAGACGTCCAATTCATTTGGAAGTACGAGGAGGACGACCTCAAGTCGTGGGACCTGCCGGAAAACCTGTATTTGAGCAAATGGGTTCCGCAGGCGTCGCTTTTAGGTTGGAGTTGTACCTTCTAAATTGTAGTTTGCTATCTCTATAAATTTGTAATTTTTTAGCTGATCCTCGTCTGAAGCTATTCGTCACGCACGGAGGACTGGCAAGCGTAACAGAAGTTGCCTATAGGTGAGAAACCTCAAGAAATTAAAGTTGGTTTTTAAGGAGATCAGTAAGCCATCAAAAGAAAAATGCCGACATATTCCTGCTTTATTCTTAACGCTAGTTAGAATTCCATTTCCGCTTAAATAACTATTTTGCTTTTCGGTATTTTTTCTATCGGGCTTCTGGTTGTCGGGATTTTAACTGTCGGTATTTTGGCTATCGGTATACTGGCGGTCGGTATTTTTCTATCGGGGCCAGAATTTTTGCTGCCGGGGCTCTCGCTGTCGGTATTTTGGCTTTTTTCGTCATTTGCTGTGCGTTGTAGCCTTCACTGAACCCCAAGAGTTAGAAGATTTGGTGGTTTGCAATCGCTTTGAAACTGACAAAATTATCTTATGTACAAAACAAACATAAAAACCTCTGAATAGAATAATTTATTAAAAGATTTTGGTTATTTGGACTTTGGTTATTGCATTTTAAGCAAGAAAATCCAGACTTATGCACCGTTTTTTAGTGGAATGCCAGCCATCGTGGTCCCTCTTTTTGCTGATCAACCCCGAAACGCCTACATGATCGCCAGGCAGCAATCAGCCGAGGTTTTCTCGAAATTCGATCTAGACAAACCGGAAAAATTTGCTGCGGTCATTAGAAAAATCCTAGTGGATTCAAGGTAAAGAAAATCTCAAAAAACTATAACTGGAAAATTTTGAGGTACCAAGAAAAAGCCACTTTCTTATCTGAACTCTTGAAAAATTCCCCATTCACGCCAAAGGAACTATTGCTGCGCAACGTGGAGTTTGTGGCCAGGTCTAATTTTTTATAAATACCATCTTGTTTACATTTACATAGTTCACGACTATTTAAATAATAACAATTTCACGCTTAATATGAGGTTGTTGTTTTAGCTAATTTTTGCTTTTTAAATTCTTTCAAATTTTTTTTGTCGAAAATCTCGTTGTCGAGATTGCTCTTTGTCGCAACTTCATCTTGTCGCAAATGATTTTGCAGAGATTTCACTTCGTCGCAATTTCGAAACTTATGATTGCAAAGGTCTAGAAAATTGGAATTCTAGGCGATAAAAATTTATGCAAAATGAAATGTCGCTAAAATTATTTTCGATAAGGTGATTTTCGTCAAACGAATTTTGAATTTTAACTTGCGCAAAAACAAAAACAAAAAAATTCCTGCCGGATTATAATAACTAATTAAAAATACTTATTATGATAATAGTAATAACTATAACTAGAACAAAAAACCAATTGGGTTTTTAGATTCGGCGCCCTGCCCCAACTCGATCCCTACGCGAGACACCTCACCTTCGTCCAGTATTTTCTGCTCGATATCGCCGCTGTAATTTTACTGATAGTTTTTGCCATTTTGTTAGTAGCATATTTTGCCGTGAGGAAAATCATGTATTACTGTACTTCCGGCCAGAAATCGAAGAAAGAATGATGCGAATTTTTGAAATTTTTTCATTAAATTTTACTCTACAAAATCACACGAAAATCATCACAAAACCGAACACATTAATGGCCAGCACCACTAAACGACTAAACAAATACAATGCCGAGAGTGGGAAAATCGGATGTAAAATATACCAAATTCACGGAAAAATGGGCTAGAGAAAAAACTAGAAAACACAATTTTTAGTGCTTTTTAGAAACTCGAGCATGAATTTAACTATATTGCCTTTGGAATAGGTATCTAATTGTAGGATAGGAGAGTTGGTGCAGATCACAACATCGAATATGCCCTCCCATCTGCACAAAACCAGTCAAACGTATAGAGTCTTCCCATACATGCGTGTAGCCAAGTGTTACTAAGATTTTCGTCACATGCCCAGTCACAACTCGGGATATGGGCTACGCAATTGCCGGTGGCCGAAACTGAAAAAGCATATCTTTCTTTCTCTTGCTCTCCCTCCCTCTCTCTCTCCCCCTCTTTCTCTCTCTCCCTCTTTCTCTCTCTATCTTTCTCCCTTGTCTCTCTCTTTCTCTCTTTCTCTCTCTCACTCTCTTTCTCCCTCTGTCACGCTTTGTCTCTCTGTATCTCTCACTCTCACTGTCCGCTCACCTCTATGCCTTAAATATATCCGTTGGCAGTCGAAAAAAGCCGCAGCTGATCCAAGAAAGCAACAGAACGAGATCAGGTTCCGTAGTCTCGACATAAGCGTTCTGGAATGTTTAGTTAAATTTCATATAAAAATGAAAGATCGATTGAAAAGCCAGAAATAAAGACGCGCGACATCGAGAGGGAGAGAGGGAGCAAGAGCGAGAGAGAGCTAGAAAGATTTATGGCGTGGGACGGAGATGGAGTGTGAGAGAGAAAGAGCCGGAGAAACAGCGAGAGAGATCGAAGAGAGAGAAAGGTGAGAGTGCAAAAGAGAGAGAGGAGAGAGAGAGAGAGAGAGAGAGAGAGAGAGAGAGAGAGAGAGAGAGAGAGAGAGAGAGAGAGAGAGAGAGAGAGAGAGAGAGAGAGAGAGAGAGAGAGAGAGAATGAGAACTGGAATTAGGGAGAACGAGCTAGATAGCGAGAGAGAAAGAGCGAAAACGCGAAACCAAAGCAGAAAAGTTGACAATACAGGCACAAGTGACCAATTTGGCTATACGAAGCCTCACCTACCGTACGCCAATTACCTTGGGAATACCTCTTCCAAAATGAAAGCCATCTACACTCCGCCCGAATGTACCCTTTCGCCTGTAGCGAAGAATTCAAAAAAAAAAAACTATATAAATATTCCCCCATTTGCCTCAAGAAATGCCCCAAAATTGCCACTTCCCCCTGTAGGCACCAACTACCAAAAACAATGCAATAAAAAAGCCAAAATCGGCCCTTTCCAGCCCCGAAAGGCCCGCCTACGATTTGGCATCAGGCGCCCCGTTTTAAGACGCCCCGGAACAAATTACACATCGGCTTACAAAGATTAGGTATTTAAGAGTGGTCGGGGGGGAAAAGACTGTTTTTGCCGGCCTCCAAATTCGGGATTACATGGCAACGCGGGGATGATAAGGGAGACCAGGTTGACACTTTGAGCTTTACAAGCCGGGGATTGGGCACACGGCTCGGGGCTTTTGCTATAGTTTTGGGATTTATTGCGAGTGACCGAGAAACGAATTTTTGATTGGAACAGTCCATCAGGCGACGTTTTTAAAGGCTTTTCAGGGGTTTGGTAATGGAACGTTGCGTATTCGATGGAGCTTGAAATTCAGAAAAAGTCATATCTGCGGATAGGCTTGAAAAGGTTACGGTCTATGGTTAAATCAGCCTCGGCCGATTTAGTCCAAGACCGTACGTAACTTTGAAATCGGCTCAGTTTTCAGAATTTTTGGCCGTTGCCTGAAGCAAAAACATGTGAGAAAACGTTATTCAAGAGAAATATAGTTTATTCCTTAAAACGTAAAATTCTGAACACGTCTAACGTTTGAAAAAATGCATCACAAATACGGTATTGGTGAAAATTATATTCTGAAAGAGCCGCTTTTGATTGCGTACCATGTGGATAATTTGAGAATTTTCCTCGAAGAGCAATGTCGTAAAGCAGTTTCTGAAACATTGCTTCAAAATTTCGAGCTTTATTAAATCAGGAATACCACATGACTAACCTATCGGATAATGCATTAATGGTGGAGATATCCTTGAGGCTGCACCCAGGGGCGTAGCCAGAAAAAAATTTCGGGGGCCCCCAAAAAATTTTTCCAACAAACTGAAAAGATGAACGAGAAAACAGCGCCGCAGGCAAAATTTTTTGAAAAAGAGGTTACATAGCTCTACAAATAGCCGTAAAAACGTCAAAAAAAAAATAGCGCCGCAGGCAGCAAAATTTTTGAGAAAATGAAAATCATAAGGGTCCCCCCTTATGAAATTTTCGGGCCCCGGCCGATTTCGGGGGCCCGGGCCCCCGGGGCCGGTATTACGCTACGTCCCTGGCTGTACCTGACCTTTAAAATCGCTGGAATTCTCAAAATTGCGTGACAGGCCGCGGGGATTTTGATGAAAGTTAGAACTCAATTTGTCCAATAAAAATACCGGTGTGTCGAAGCGATTTTTAAAGCTGAAAATTTTCAGGCTTTTTACTAAAAGGTTGCGAAATGTAGATTTTTACCAAAATCTCGAATTTCTTAATCTTCTTTTAGGATTTCCAGAAAATATTACCACTTTAAATCAAGTTCGATGTTGATAAAAACACAATTAAAATTTTCTCTATGAGATTACTGAGCGTTTCGGAACTCATACAACAAAATTCGGCCCCATGATGACCCCCGACCAGAATGCGAAAACCCAGTGAAAACCTAGCCCCCGCATTCTAGTCACCTGTGAAGTACGGACCCTTTTTTCCGCGTCGAACCTACTGTACGAAATGGCAGGTTGCCCTGCCGAGGAAAGCCCTATTTGGAGCGATTTTCCAAAAACGGCCCCCCATTTTTTGCTATTTTCAAAGATCCAGGGGACAAACTTTACCCTCCCAGAAATGGCCCACCTAAATACCAATTTAATTCGCTGCGCAATTCGCGGGGGCAGATACCGACCGGCCCGGGGAGAGCTACAGTACCCCACCCCCCCCCGCTTCGCGAAAATTAGTTTTGCCTTTTGGGGGGCGGAATGACGCACAAAATGCCAATAAGACCCCGGAAATGGCACGTGCAAAATCGGGGGGTTTCGGGATGGTTTGTACCTCCCCACCTACCGTAGCCCTTTTTCGCCAAAGGAAAAGAAAGAGGAAGCTAAACGGGAGCTTTTCCTCCACGTCACGCCACAGGAAATGAGAGCTATACGTAGCGGAAAGTAGGGCAATTGCAATTTGCAGCAGGTTCTCTCTGCTTTGGTTGGTTTTAAGGGTAAAAAAAGATTATTGAAACTGGGATAACTTTCTCTTTCACTCTTTCTCACTCTCTCTCACTCTCACTCTCTGGCGCTCTCTCTTTATCAATCTCTCTTCCTCTCTCCCTCTCCATCGCACACTCTCACTCACCTTCTATCTCCCGCTCTCTCTCCTGCGCCCTCTCCCGCTCTCTCCAGCTCTCTCTCTCTCTCTCTCTCTCTCTCTCTCTCTCTCTGTCAACCTCCTCTCTCTCACTCTTTCTCTCGCACCCAATGGCGTGGGGTTCGAACAAAATTAAAAATAGTTTTTCGTGCCCTGTATTTTACGAAATTGAAGTAAAATATAGTTTTCATTATTAAGTCAAAAAGATAACTTTTGCGCTAAAAATTCCGGCTCTCGACTTCGAGTCCAAAAAGAACGACTCAAGAGGATTAAGACAAACTCCGAAGAGTATCTCGTTGTTTGCAGAAACAAGAAGTTCACCGTGTCTACCGAAAGATCTTTTTTGAAAAATGCTAGCATCCGGCGAAGAAAGAGCAAAGAAAACAATTCATCTGGTGACGAAATACTGGGCCTAAAGATCAGCGCTTAACACTTTCAGACCATCCGTGGGCGTTCGGCCCCGTTGCACCTGCTTTTTCTGACATTTCGACAACCTGGGGTATTTTGTGAAATCCCAATTCAGACATCTGTAACGTAAAAAAACTTGACTAAAAGTATAGAGGACAAACAGTTGCGTATTTTAGGACTTCTTCTGAGAACTGGGTACCACCTGTGGCTTCGTATAGCCTGGAAATAGCTCAAAATTCGAGGGATTTTGGCTAAAATTCGAAGTAAAAATAAGAATAGAGATCATGCGCCCAAAAGTGTTTGGGCAAAATGGCAATTTCGTTAAAATTTTTCACTATATTACTCCAGGAGATTCGGTCGGTGACCGCCGATAATCTGAGAGAGAGAGGGCGCGAGAGAGAGAGGGAGAGAGAGAGATAGCAAGGGAGAAAGAGAGCGAGAGAGAGGGTGAGAGATTCGAATTTCCGTGGGCGATTTCTCATCAAAACCGAGAGCAATTTAACAGAATTTTGGATGGTGGTCGTTTTTTCGGTTTGAACTTGTTACTCGGATTTTGGTTTTCCAGGAAATTGGACCCTCAAGAATCGGGATTCTTTGATCGGAAAAGCCAGATGATTGGTTTCCGGTACTAACGTTTCTCGTCGTGTCTGATTAAAAAAATAGAAGTAAAGTTGAGCAAGCAACTTAATTTTGGATAGTGAGAAAATGTTAATAAGCTGCAGAATGGACCGCGAAAAACACCACCACATCCGTTTTTTACAGAAATGCGATTTTCGCTACTAAAACTTGATCTTTGTAAAATTCTTTTTTACCTGCTTTGTTTTGGATACAATTACCATAAACCAAAAGTGGACAAGGAAGTGGAAAGTGGGCGACCTTTTCATTTCATCTTTTTCATCAGCATTCGGGAAGAACTATGCAAAATTTAAACGGCCATAATCCCCAAACGCGGTGTGATTGGAACGCCGCGAAGCGGTTTTTTAACTCTAGTTTTCGGGAAAATTCAACACTACAGTTTGGTTGGAAAAGCCATTATCAATCCCACGGATTCCCACCGATCATAGGCCCACCCACCAAAACTCAACCTAAAATCAAAAAATACACCCGCGCACTGCACCCAGATTTAATAAGTATCCAGCACAGTTACTAATTATCGCCGGCGCGTGGCTATCTGGAATTGAGGGAGTTCTCAAAAACAGTGGCTGTCGCAAAGCGAAAATCGAAGATTTTGATGCACTGGCTCACCTATGTCCGGATCATGAATTTGAATCACCGAATCTCGGCCCCATTTTCGCTGTTCGTACTGTATTGCGTGATATTCAAATCGACGCCGGCGATGCGGAAATATCAACGGTATCTGTTGTATCATAAGGTGAGGGAGATAGAGAGAGAGAAAGCTAGAGTGAGAGAGAAAGAGAGAGATTGAGAGAGAGAGAGCAAGGGAGAGAGAGAAGGAAAAAGAGAGAGAGAGAAAGAGAGAAAGAAAGAGAGAAAGCGAGGCCGAGAGAGAGAGAGACAGAGAGATTTTTTACAGCCGAATACCGTTTTTAAACTAATTTTTTATTTTATGCCTTCTTGTTGATAAGAATTAGGGCACTACACGATGTTTTCGTAGGTTTCCTGATTTATAAAAAGCTCCAAAACACATTTCAAATTTTCATACATCTTTGAACACAAATCATAAATTTACGCAATTTTTGTATTGTCTGTAGAAGCCACATCTTTTCTAAAAAATTTGAAAACCGGATATTCGACCCTCTCTATGGACTGGGTCTTGACAGCTGCGTCGCACACCAAGTGACACCTCGTGATTTCCAGTTCTGCCTCATCCTGCTCGAAATGTCAATTTGCGAATTCGGTGTCCCAGTGGTCTATCTGCCAAAAGTGCTCGGTTTTTCGGAGGGCTGGTTAAACTTTTTGCCGGTGCAGTATCCATTTGTAAGCGCAGTTCGTCTTATCAGCGATTTACAAAATTAACCTAGGCTCTTTTCACACTATCGCTATGCCTCACCGCTGTCAGCGGAATTCACGCGATGATGTATCGCCACCAGCAGGTACTGTAATTTTCATGTTTCCTCCTTTTTCGAAAAGTTTTTCTTGCTAAAAAACTAAATTAAAAAACTGAAATTACGCCAAATTAAATTGATATAAGGGGAAAAGTTTGTTTTGAGTTAATTTCAATTTGAAAAGTTTATTTTATAGCTTCTTCCCAGTACCTCTAAGTTGAAAATGCCGAAAACCGGAAGTCGTCTATTTTTCCTGTTCGTCTACCTGTTTTTGGTACTGCCGTCGCCGGTTTCCGGATTTTTATTGACCTACTCAAATACGGCCGGCCGGATGGAGGCGGTAGGAAATTGAGAGTTGATCTCTGTCTCGATTTCTCTCTCATTCTCTCTCTCTCTCTCTCTCTCTCTCTCTCTCTCTCTCCCTTTCCCTTTGCCCTGACTAAATCAAATTACTTTCGGTAAAATCTGATTTTTTTGCAGGAAATGCCACCGGAATGTCATGAAATTTGGCTACAATCGCCAGAACGTGTTTTCGGCTATGAGCTGGTTGGCAATTGGGGTGTATGTGGGTTTAGGGCCATGTAATTAACGTGCTGCGAGAGAGAGTGAGAGTGAGAGAGAGTGAGAGAGAAAGAGAGAAAGCGAGAGCGAGAGTGAGAGAGGGACGGAGAGCCAGACACAGGGAGAGCAGTTAACTGTTTCAGATTTAACAATTGGCACCTATGTAACGAGCACCCTCGGGCTTACCTCACTCTGCGTCTTTTTCATTGGCGCTTTATACAGTGGTTTGAGGTGAGAGAGCGAGAGAGAGAGGGAGAGAGGGAGAGAGAGAGAGAGAGAGAGAGAGAGAGAGAGCAGAGAAAGTGGGAGAAAAAGAGTGCGAGAGAGAAAGTGAATGAGAAAGAGAACGAGGGAGAAAGCGTTTTTCAGCGTTTACGCTGTGCATATGAGCCCCCAAACCAAGCAAGTACAGCGCGAGATTCTTCGACTATTTGCCGTCCAGGTAGGGCTTTTGGTTTCCTCCGAAACCTATTTCAGACGGCACTTGTGGCGTGTTTTCTCTCAGGCGGCGTTAGTGTTATTATTTTTCCAGTCGTCACGGGTCTGGATTTAAAAGGTGAACCTTTATTTCAATGAAAATAGAAATGCGCAACAAATGCAGCACAAACTTGTAGATACCAACTTTTACGGGTTTATCCTAATGAGCTTGAACCCCTACTTCGCCACGCCGCTTTGGATCTATGCCTGCAAAAGCTATCGCGAATTCGTCCGGGATCTCTACTTGAAAGGTTGGTACTGGGCTGTTAGCGGTGGGGGAGTCCGGGGAAATCCATTTTTCCGGAATTGTCCCGTAACGGCCCTAGCACTAAAACAACTCAAAATGACCAAAGATGTCAAAAATTTTCTGAAATTTATGGAAAATTCTATATTTCTAACAGGCGGACGAAAAGGCACAAAGAAAGTATCCCCCCGCTAACCGAAAAGTACCTGTATTCGTCTCGATTTCTGCTGATTTCAGCTAGCTGTCGTTGGCGTTCATCTTCGCCTTCTAATCGCCCCAGCGGAGCGATAATCAGCGTCACCATTCCACCGGAGATGAATACTGCAAAATAGAAACAAGAGTTTTATCCAATAAAATGATAATATGATTTTAATATACTGAATACTCGATTTTTCAGAGTTCCCTGTCAATTTTTAGGTTCGAAATCCCTTCTGGCCTTCCATAATGGCGGACATCTTTCGCGTGTCTCGTTTTCGAACAAAATAGCAATACAAAAAAAAATAGATCTTTGAAAAGGTGATTTTCGAGAATGTGCTTCTGCTAGCCATGCTTTTGGAAATTGGAATTCTGATGTTAACTAAAATTCCAAACAATTCCAATTGCCAAAATTTGGAACAGAGTTTGCAAACTACAAGGAATATCTGCCGATAAATTCCTATCCAAGCGACTTCCGGTCATTTACATTTATTTTTCGTGTTTTGCATGCGCCAAATTAGTATAACCGCTCGACGGGCTCTCGCTTCGCATTTCTCACTCATTAATATCCATCGCGCCAGCTTCAGCGGTCGACTACCGTCTTCTGATGCGCAGCCAGCAGCGCGAGCCGCGACTGATAGCGCGTCGCCGCAGGCCGATGACGCCGGTTGCGCAGGTCTAAAAGTTTTTTCTTTTTTCTATTGTTACAGCCATTTGCCATTTTTCTTTGCCGTTTTCGGGTTCTCATTAATTTCGCTATTTTCGCTGTTTTTTCGGGGGAAAATTGCAGTATCCGATCACAAAACGGATTTCGGATTTTTATATGTCAAAATTCTCTGCAGGTCGGAAAGAAGCGTGCCGGCCGTTTGATGATGAGGCGCAGCGTCCCCTCAATGAATCCACGCCCTCCTCCGCTGGACGGTCGACGCCGTCCGGGACGCAACCGGAAGCGGTGGGCAACATCTACATCTGGTCGTCGTCCGATTCTGTGGTGGTGCCAAGGACTGTTCTTTCTCTCCGTCTTCTTCTACCTGCCCGAATCCATTGTAGCCGGGTAAGTTATTTGCCAAGAATGTAGCAACGGCCTCCCAGTCATCCGATGGTTCTGGGCTGTTAGCGGGGGGAGATAACTTTCATCGATGGAAATAATTTTTGTTTCCCCTCTAGGCCTGACCCTTGATAAAATATAAGATATTTTAATTGCATTTTAGCAGTTTTTGATTGTTTTTTTTGCTAGAAAGTCATAAAACATTATGTTCAAAAACTTTGATTGTTTTTGGCGATTTTTCAGATATTTTTGATCCAAATGTCCAAAATTTCCAAAAGTATTATGTTTGTTGAATTTTTTATGGCTAAAAACAGTGTAAATTTTAATAAAAATGCTGTATCCTTCGTTATGGATGGGCCACTAGGAAAAATGTATAAAAATTGAAAATCTAATGATAGAAAACATGTGTTACACTGATCTTGGAACAACCGTAAAGTGGAGCGGGCGGCGTACCCTTAAACTACTCTGGTAGTGCATAGAATATCTTTTCCAGCGTACCCGGAAGCCGTCCGAGCGGAGAATCCCGAACATACCGGGCCCAAGATGGAGCTCCACAACTGACACCGGTGTGTTTTCCGCCACCCCTTCTCTGCTAATTCCCTTTTTGCAGTGCATGATGCGCCGGCCATTTGTTTGCTTCGCCTACGATGCCCTGAACAAGCCGTACCCCAAATTCCCACCGAACGAGATCCCTGAAAAAACGCAAAAGGCATGTTAAAGACCTTACTTTTGAAACTAGAGCGAACTGCCGCCTAGAAGGCAGGCAAACTAACAGAAACGTTGAAGAGCTTCGGGCCCAAAAATGACTGTAACTGAGGCTCGTCAATCTTGCACGTAGATAGAGCCGAAGCCCCCCCAGCCGTCGCCTCGTTTCGGATTTGCTACAGATCTTTCAAACCAAAAAAATTCTCTTTTCCACGATCACACTTGCATTTTTCAAATGTGCTTTAAATTTTGAGCCCGAGGGTGATTCGAAGGAGAAAAATTCTCGGCGACAATTGATTTATGTCGTCCGGGAAGGTCCCACCAGGGCCGTAACAAACCCGAAATTTCGGGGGAGGGGGGGCGCCAAAATTTTTTGCTAAATCGGTATTTTTGCTTTTGCTAAACCAATTAAAAGCTGGCGGTTTTTATAGACTTGTACGCCGTTTGAAATGGTTCTGGGCTGTTCGCGGTGTGGGAGAAATTAAGAAAAACGTCATAAAACAGCTTGAAAATTTGTGCCCTTTCCGTCTAACGTGTATGAAAATGATTAAAAACGCGCTATGACTCTTGATTTCGTGACTTTAGGATTATGTTTTTATAATTTTTGATTACCGGGAACTACCAAAAACATCATTAAAATAAACTACAATTTATCACTAAGCATGTATAGGCTAAACAAAAAAAAGTTGACAACCGCCCCCCGCTAAAATAACCGCCCCCCGTTAACCTGGAAGCACCGCTAAATCGACCAAAAAGGGCTGCACGCCCCCCTCTCTTACGGCTTGGTCGTGACCATCGAGGTCGAAGTTTCCCGAATTTATCTAAAGGATGGCTTTAAAAGTGACATATCTCGAGCTTTAAAAGCCAGGCGCAAATTCGAAAAACAAGTTTTTGGCCAGTGTAGTCTACTGCCACCTGCCAGCGCGGAGCCCCCGTCTGTTCGAGGTTCCCTAGTAAATTGACATGAGGGCTGCACGCCGACTAGCGCCTTGTATTTCCGAAAGTGCACAATAGAGAAAATTGTTTTTTTTTCAGTGTGAGAAATGCCAGCTGCCCAACAAAGTATGCGGCTCCGAAACATGGATGAGTCAGGCAGATTTTCGCCCAGCCAGCATGTTCCCATGCAGTCCGAACTTTTGTGTAAGTGGAGATTTATGCTTCGTTGATTGATGTTGTAACATTTGGTTCCCAAAGCTGACTGTATGGGGTAGCCACAAATCAAACAATCGCTATGTTCAGTTGCTTCATTGGACCCTACTTTAGAAAGAAGGGCAGCCCGACAACTGCATCAAGCCCGTCGACATCAATGGCCAAAAAGGTTTCAAAAAAAGCACTAGCCAAACTAATCCTCCTAGGCTGTTATAAGAAAGACCCATGTTTCATACAAAAATTCATCGGCATTTGGCGGCCCGATTTCCCATAGAGCTGAAACTTTTAGAAGAGGTGTGAAGAGCCTTAGCACTGTAGAACGTGCCAGTTTAGAAAGCTATGGGTCCGACAAGGGAAAATTCTACTCAATAATGAAAGACAGTTTACCTAGTCCAGTTTTTAACGCTGATTCCAAAACCGAATTTGTTTTTTGCCCGATGCTTATATTTGTCGAGATATTCGGCAATTTATGCCTGAAACTGGTTTCTTTAGAAGGCCCTTAGAATTTGTTAGACAACCTCCAAGCCTCGATTTGCGCAAACCTTCGCAAGAAGCGGTTATACGGATGGATGTATCCGGAACGGACTCGCCCCCTGTTTTAAGCTAAGCCGTGCGACAAGTCTCCTTATTTCGGTTATGTCCATGAAAGCGCTAATAACTTTCCTAGACGAACTCCAAGGCGGTTTTTGGTCCTGGGAGTTCGGCCCCACCGAATCCAACCCTACCGCGCGTTATCCACTCATACTGTCTTTACACACTGATGCATATGGCACCAAGTTTTGCAGTATACTTCCCGATGAATGTGTGCACCCGGGAGATGATCGCAAAAGGAGAGTGCCCGCTCGATAAGCTGTGGGAAACATGGCCCTGCCCCTGAGAGTAACTATTCAGGAGCACGGTGGCATTCTCGCCCGGAAGCATGGAATCGACGAACGAATACGTGGTGCAATGCGACGCGGGATTCACAGTCCCGGGGTTTATTTTGCGTGTGCCCGTCAAAACAGCATGCTTTAGCGTCGTGAAGGAGGCGAAAGCTAAAAACAGCAAAATTGTACCGACCTGCATCCCAAGCCTTCACATGGCTGCCGGCTATTTGACAATCGATGATTCTCCACTCAAAAATTATAAGTACGACGTTGCGGGGCCACAAGTCGACGTTCGTCTTTGAAATATAACCACTGCTCGCTTCTAGTATTGTGCACACGGCGGTCGGAAGGAAGGTGATCGGTGTCACCCCCTACCATTATGCGGACCGAACGGCAAAGCGTAAGTCCTTGTTGAACATTCCGTGCTTGGCAGCGCCCTAACCCGTTGCGTTGCTTGACAACACGTTGGGACTGCTTATCGCCAAACTCCGTCGAAAAGTCGGCAGAGCAGGGGGATAATCAGTCGTAGCGCATGATTTTCAGCCCGGAATTGGATCATTTATCTCCGGAGTGGCGGACAGAAGACTGCGACAAGGCGTGCGCATACCCCAGTGCCGATGGAAAGTACGACGACTGCGTCATCCTCGACATCCGAATGGACGAGAAGACCGTCATCTCCTACCGTCGCTTATTGGTACTATTGAATCTCTTTCCGAATAGCGAATTCCGCCTTTCTTAGTCTGGTCCGTATGCCCAGCTGATGTCAAACGACGAAAATCTGCTCGTGTCTTCCGCCAAGCCGCCCGTGTCTTCGAAGACCCAGGCGGCTCGGATGAAGCGTGCTGGCTTCGATGGTATCGTCCGATACCCACGCTGTATCGACGCTGAAGGCCTGTCGGTACGTGGCCACTGCGGTTTCGGTTCTTTCGCATTATGGGGGGACCCGAACTTTTTTTTGTATAATCTAGAAATGACTAGATAGACTTACTAGAAAGTGTTTTAATAGTGTTTTTAGTTGCACAAAAGCAAAGCCATTCAGAAACCTTAGAGACTGTTTGGAAAAGCCGAAATTTTACTCAAAACCGACTACTTTTGGTCATAAAAACATAATTTTTGGTGTTTTTGAATAGAAAATTGTAAAGTTTCACGTTTAGAAATAGTAAAAAACGGCAAAGAGTCCTGCATTGGTTAATTTAAATCTCATTTTGATTTGAAAAATTGAACCCGAAGGAAAAAAATCGGTTCCGCGTCCGATAATGCGAAAGACAAATTTTTCCCTACAATAAATATTGGATTATTATCCCATCTTTACCTCCGTTTCAGGAGTCGCACAAGGCGATTGTGCTCAAGGACACCCTGCTGAACTGCGCGACGAATCCGGTGTACCTGGCGCAGAACAAGGATCCGAAGTTGCGCCTCACCCTGCAGGAATGTGCTTCGATTGGCGATGCGACTGGAACCGGCGAGGTGCGCACCAGCTCTCCTAAGCCTAAGCCTAAGTCTAAGCATAAGCATCGCCAAAGCCCAAGCCTAAGCATAAGCATAAGCCTAAGCCTAACCTATGTCTAAGCCTAAGCCTAAGCCTAAGCCTAAGATAAGCAGGCAATTGGCTCCATCACCCTTGTATGTGCTTCAGAAATTCTGCCGTCTGCACGCTCCGCCGACGACGCCTCCGACGACGAGCGCCCCAGTCGCCTCGTCCTCGACTCTGGATGACGGCTACGCGTGGATCCTCATCACGGTCGCCATGTGCTTGATTCAATAAACTCTGTATTTTTTTTACTCGAATGCGCAGAATAAATAATCTTGAATGACTGTTGAAAAACATCCCGCATGTGGAGTCCCTGGAAAAGCTTAGGTGCACACAGGCCCTGCACACAGAGCACGGGGGATAAAATACAGTCATTCATTGGCTAACCTTATCTAATTTGGCTTATCTGTGGGTGTGTGTATGCAGCTGCCAGTTTCGATACCCAATTTTGCCGGGAAAAAAAAAGACAATTTCTCCAAAATTTTGCGGTGCCGACATTTCCTAATGACCAAATGCCGGGCGGCAAGGGTATAAAATTTTTTCCAAGTCCTCCTGCGCAACCTTACAATGGAATATCGATCCCTTCGTAGTACTTTACATAACTTTTTAGATCGGAAAACGCACAAAAAAATTGTACATGTTCGAAAATCGTGTCATTTGGGCGAAAATGTGTGAATAATGACCAAATACACAAATTTTCGTTAAAAAATTTAATTTTAGGTCGGAAAATCCTAATGAACTCAACGCAATTTAAAAATCCCAATTCGCGGGGGATTCGACTTTTTCAAACATTTGCCAAATTTTTTTGAAAGTTTCTCTAATATAGTTCAAGCTTACTAAAAACAATGCAAAAAAAACTTGGTGCTTCCTGGTTATCGGGGGTCGGTTATTTCAGCGGGGGTCGGTTGCGAACTTTTTTCTATAATATCGTGCGGCTCGGCTAATTAAAAACTGGCCGTTTTTATAGACTTGCGCGCCGTTTGAAATGGTTCTGGACTGTTAGCGGGGGAGGAAACATTAAGAAAAACGTCATAAAACATGTTGAAAAAAATTTCTTTTTCGGTCTAACGTATATGAAAATGGCTAAAACCGCGCTATAACCCTAGATTTCGTGACTATAGGATAAATATTTTTATAATTTTTGATTATCGGAAGCTACTAAAAACAGTATTAAAATAAACTACAATTTATCACTAGGCAGGTATAGGCTAAACGAAAAGAAGATGCCAACCGACCCCGCTAAAATAACCGACCCCCGATAACCAGTAAGCACCAAAAACTTTATATTTGATCACTAGGCTAACCTGGACGCAAAGGTTAGAAATGCTGGACAAATAAACTATCATTTTTTATAATAAACTTATGCCTGCAAGAAAACAAAATACAAATTTACTGGCAAAAACTTGGTCAAACGTAGAAAATTAGGTGTTTTAATAGCTAGGTTGGTATTTGGTACACTGAAAATTCGAGATTATTTTAATTGCGAAAAATTTGCGAGGGAGGAGGAGAACTTTTGAATAGGATATTTGCATACGTTAGGGATTATCGGCGCATCCATGCCTATCCAAGCGACTTCCGGTCATTTGCATTCATTTTCCGTGCGCTTTGCATGCACCAAATTAGTATAGCCGCTGGACGGGGGTATCGCTTCGCATTTCCCACTCATTGTGAACAATGTAAATGTAAGAACAATGTAAATAACGTTATACTTGATCACTAGGCTAACTTGGACGCAAAGGTTAGAAATGCTGGACAAATAAACTATCATTTTTTATAACAAACTTATGCCTGCAAGAAAATAAAATGCCAATTTCCTGGCAAAAACTTGGTCAAACGTAGAAAAATTAGGTGTGGTATTTGGATTTCCATTCATTTCGCATAATTTTCATTTCGCATACCGCCATTTTGCATAATTGCATTTCGCATAATTTTTATTCCGCATAACGGTGATTTCGCATAACGCTATCCTATCCTATAAGCGAGAAAAGTATGTCTGTTTTCTGTTCAGCCGATTTCTCGGCCGTCAGGCCGAATTACCGGCTGATTTTTGGCATGGAGGTAGTGAAACACATTTGTCAGTGACGCATTTTTTTGTTTCGCGAAATTCCTTTATTGGACAATTTTACAAGCAAAATAGTGAAAAACCCTTAACATTTTGGCCAAAAAAAGGTATGTCCGGAGGTTTTCTCGGCCGATAAGAGGAGTTGGGCTCTGATTTTTAGGGGGTGAGTGGTGAAAGCAATTCTCCCGATACTATTTTTTGGATTTTGTGAAATTACTTAAAATAAAGTTTTTATGAGCAATTTACTAAAAGGCCCTTAACAAAATGGGCCAACGGCCGTGGTGTCCGGGTCATAACTCGAAGCCCAGATGGAATTTTGGTCTGTAATTTGGTCCACTTATGTATTCGATAGTGGGGATCACGCGGATCTTATTATTTTTGCAAATTGTTGCCGCACTCAGACTCAAAAAGAAAATTTTGTAAAGTTACCAGAAGTTCTCCCGCCCGGGGTGAGGCCCGCCCCCAGGGCAAAAGAGGGCTTTCCCGCCACCCATCGCCATCGCCCCGTGGTGTAGCGGATTGGCGCCCGGTCTCACAAGCGCGTGGTCCGGGGTTCGAATCCGCGCCGAATTTAACTTTTTGCTTTTTGAGATTTCAATAACAAACCATATTGCTAGGCCCCCGGTGTGCGAGTTTTAGGCCTGGCCCTCGCTCTAGCGCCGCAGGCCAAAGAAAACGTACTTGGCCCAGGCCCTGGCGCCGCAGGCCAACGATGGGCCCTTGACCCAGGCTCTCGCGCCGCAGGCCCAATCCCGGAAAAAACCAGTAACTAGGGCCGGAGACTCAAAGATTCTAGCGCAACGCTGGCTCTGGCGCCGCAGGCCAAAGAAAAGGTCCTTGACTTACGCTTGCGCGCCGCAGGCTAAATCCGAGCGAAAAATCAGTAGCTAGCGCCGCAGGCAAATGAATGGTTCCTTGAGTCAGGCTCTTGCGCCGCAGGCTTCAATAAAAGGAAAGGGAATTCCTGATTCCTAGACGGGGTCCAGTGGAAAAGGGCCGCGAAGCGGTCTTTTTCCACTGGTTTCGTATAACGCTTATTTCGCATAACGGTGATTTCGCCTAACCGTCATTTCGCATAACGAACATTTCGCATAATTTTCATTTCAGCTAACGACCATTTCGCATAATTTTGATTTCGCCTAACCGCCATTTCGCATAATTTTCGCCATTGGCAGCCGATGGTCAATATAACTCTAGCTTAGCAATCAGCAACCGATGAAAAACAATCTACCGGCGCGGTTTTTTGCGCCCTTCCGTGCAGATATCCCAAGCTTGCTCAAAATCCATGACCCATCGGGTGTACGTCTGTTTTGAGGTTTGTTTTATCCTACGTTGTAGATAGTATCCATGCGTAAACTAGCAGATCTGACCGCAAGACTAGGTCAAAAGCATTACATTGATTACAGATGCGGAATCCGCGTAAATGGTAGCTAGTCATTTCGATTGTCTTACACCGTGACTGCACTTCATATCATCAAAAACGCCCTGTTTTGCTCTTGGTTGCCACTAACTAAAAAATATGCGAAATAAACGTGATGCGAGATCCTCGCTAGGTGAAATGAAAATTATGCCAAATAATCGTTATGCGAAATCATGGTTCGGCGAAATGACCGTTATGCGAAATCGCCGTTAGGCGACATAAGCGTTATGCGAAATCATCGTTATGCGAAATCACCGTTATACGGAATAAAAATTATGCGAAATGCAATTATGCGAAATAGCGTTATGCGAAATGATAATTATGCAAGATGAAGAAATACCGGTATTTGGTACACTGAAAGTCCGGGAGGCGGGAGTCTTTGCGAGGGAGGAGGAGAACTTTTCATAGAATATTTGCATACGTTAGGGATTATCGGCGCATCCATGCCTATCCAACCGACTTCCGGTCATTTGCATTTATTTTCCGCGCTTTGCATGCGCCAAATTAGTATAACCGCTGGACGGGGTCGCTCTCGCATTTCTCACTCATTAATATCCATCGCGCCAGCTTGAGCGGTCGACTACCGTCTTCTGATGCGCAGCCAGCAGCGCGAGACGCGGCTGATGGCGCGTCGTCGCAGGCAAATCACGGCGGTTGCGCAGGTCTCAACGTTTTTTATTTTTTTTATTTTGCGGTTAATTGCCAATTTTTGCTTTCGCCGTTTTCTGGTTCTCGTTATTTTCGCTGTTTTCGCTGTTTTTCGGGGGAAAATTGCGGTATCCGGTCACAAAGCGGTTTTCGGATTTTATATGTCAAAATTCTCTGCAGGTCGGAAAGAAGCGTGCCGGCCTTTTGATGATGAGGCGCAGCGTTCCCTCAATGAATGCACGCCCTCCTCCGCTGGATGGTCGACGCCGTCCGGAACGCAACCGGAAGCGGCGCGCAACATCTACATCTGGCCGTCGTCCGATTCTGTGGTGGTGCCAAGGACTGGTCTTCCTCTCCGTCCTTTTCTACCTGCCCGATTCCAGTGTGGCTGAGTATGTTATTGAGCGTTGTCTCAATTTGGTGGTAACTACTTAAACGGCGGCCAGCGGCTGACCCAGGCCTCATTATGGCTTGGCAAAATTTAGCTCTATTCTATCCTTTTTCCAGACCTGCCTACAACATCTTTGGACACGGACAACACGGACCAGCGATGGCCCCAGCCGATGAAGCATCAGTGCCAGACGTGTGTTTCCGTGACCGCCTTAGTGAATTGGGATCTGTTTAGTGCGAAAGTCGCCCCTTCGTCTGCTATGGCTACGATAAGCTGAATAAGGAATACCCGGTACTGGCAGCAAGCGGGGGCGGCAAGGTCACGGAAAAGGTCGGTTATTAGGGCTTCTTACTTTGGTTTGCTTCCGGAACTGGCAATGTTGCTGGAATTTTCGGCGCTTTTGGTTAGCCTTTGGAGCTGTTTTGCATGGTTTTTAAGGCGATTTTGTCGCTGCGCCACCAATTTTCATGAATCATTTTCTTTTTGAGCCAATTTTCACCAACCAAAATCAGGCGGCGATCCGTTATTTTCCATTTATAAAGTTTTTTACAACATAAATTTACACACGCTATTATGCTGCAGGAGCAATCCACAACCGGTAGTCCATGGAAATTGACCCAAAATTCACTTTTGATCCCGATTAAAAACCATATTTCCAGTGTGTCAAATGCACGCTACCCGCAACGACTTGCGTCACCGAAAGCTGGATTAGCGATCCCGCGCATCGACCAAACAAACAATACGAGCAGTGCATGCCCAATTTTTGCGTATGACGTTTCAAAGATACGTCGATCGCTTTTTATCATACTCTAGAAAGACGGGCAGGCCGACGACTGCATCAAGCCGGTCGACATCGACGGACAAAAAGGTGCCCCAGGGCAGGCGTGTAGAAGGGGGCAGGCTGCCGGCAAGCCCGAAAAAAAACACAAGGGTCGCCCTTATGAGTTTTTCAATTTGAAAATTTTTTCGCCTGCGTCGCTGTTTTTATTACTTTTTCTTCATTTTTTAGCCTTCGGCGCTGCATTTTAGCGAAATTTTAAATTCGGAAATTTTTTCTTGCTGCTGCCCCCCCCCCCCCCCAAATGTCGCTGGCCCCACCGAAACTTGGGGTCAGCTACGCCCCTACTCCAGAACCACAAGCCAAGCTGCTTCACCTAACGTTTTTTTTTTTGGGGGAGGATCCACTTTGTTTTAGTTCAATGGCGCGGTGCGAATTTTTCACTTATTCCTTTTTTACGATAACCACTTTTTCAGTGTACTTTCCGATGAATGTGTGCACCCGGAAGATGATCGCGAATGGAGAGTGCCCGCTCGATCAGCTGTGGGAAAAAGGCTCTGCCCCTGAGAGGATCTATTCAGGAGCACTATAGGGTTCACGCCCAAAAATATGGAGTCGTCCAATCAATACGTTGTGCAATGCGATGCGGGTTTCACGGTTCCGAGGCTTGTTGTTCATGTGTCTGCCAAAACAGCATACTTAAGAGTCGTTGAGGAGGCAAAGGCAAAGAAAGGCGCCATCAAGCCTGTCTGCGTTCCGAGCCTCCACATGGCTGCCGGCTATTTGACAATCGATGATTCCCCGCTCAAAAACTACAAGTACGACGTGGCGGGGCCACAAGTCGAAGTTCGCCTTGGAAATATGATCACTTGCTCTCTTCTAGTATTGTGCACACGGCGGTCGAAAGGAAGGTGATAAGTGCCACCCCCTACCATTATGCGGACCGAACGGCAAAGCGTAAGTCCTTGTTGAACCTTACCGTGGTTTGCAAGCGCTCTACAGGGTGTCCCAATACAAAATACCCCCCTAACTCGACACAGAAATATCGGGTCGGAACGATAGTTACACCGTTCGAAAGCCCTTGGAACGGCAGTTTGCGGCAATCTTCAAAACCATGTTTTTATTGAAACGCGCCATTTTACAACGCATTTTAAATCCTTAAGGAACGGCCCTGCATCTGATTAACGGCTACTTCCGGTCATTTTGTATTGATAAATTGGGGCAAGTTAGCTTGTTTGCAACCCCCAAAAACCGGAAAATTTTACAAAATGACATGTAAAATAGCGGGTTCAAATAACAACATCGTTTTGAAGAGTGATGCAAATTCGCCGTTTTAAGGACTTTCGGTGGGTGTAACTACCATTCCTATCCGATACTTCTGCGTCGAGTTACAGGGGGCTGTTTTGGTAAGAGTCTAGAAACCCCCCCCCAGCCGGCTCCAACTTTTGTATCTCGGCCCCCCTTTGTGCTAGCGAGCTCTAAAGTATACCAAAATGTTCGTCGTAGGCTAATTAGTAAGACTACATTGCAGTTCAGTCGAAAAAAGTAGCGAAAAATAAAAATAAGGAAGGTAGAAAAGTTGAAAAGTCGGCTGGGGGGGGTTTCCTAGACTTGAGCCGCTGTTTTTATAGGGACACCCAGTAGTCCCGTTGCGTTGCCTCACAACACATTGCACAGTCCGTCGAAAAGTCGGAAGAGCAGGGGGAAAAACAGGGCTGGTACCCAGATGACATTTACACGCGTGTAAACAGCCCAAAATTTACCGCGTGTAAAATTTTTACGGATGTAAATTTGATCTGGGTACCAGCCCAGTCATAGCGTTTTATTTTTAGCCCGGAATTGGATCATTTAACTCCGGAGTGGCGCACGACAGACGACTGCGACAAGGCATGTGTGTACCCAAGTGCCGATGGCAAGTACGACGATTGCGTCATTCTCGACATCCGCCTGGACGAGAAGACGGTCATCTCCTACCGTCGATTATTGGTACTTGTCACTCTTTTTCCATTTAGCCTAGCCCGTCTTATTTTAGTCTGGTCCGTTCGCTCAGCTGATGTCAGAAGACGACAACCTGCTCGTTTCATCAGCTACGCCACCGGAGGTCACAGAACCTCCTACACCTCCTCCATCACCTTCGCCCCCTTCGTCCGCTTCACCCCCTCCATCCGCTTTACCCCCTCCATCCGCTTCACCCCCTCCAGCCTCCCCATCCGCTTCACCCGATCCGCAGGGAACCGGGAACGACACCAAGCCTTCTCCGGAAACGGTAACTCATTGGGTTTTACAAGGAACGTAGGAGCCTGGAGTGGAGTGCTAGTTTCCGAGAGTTTCGACATTTTTACAAAATTTTTTGAACGATAGACGCTGCAAACCATGCCTGATTTACTTTTTTTAGCAATTTTTTCTAGCCTCCAAGCTCTACCGACCAGGCGCCAGATGCCCGGAGGAAGCGTGCTGGCCCCGATGGAATCATCCGGTACCCACGCTGTATTGACGCTGAAGGCCTGTCGGTGCGTGACCACTAATGATCTCTCTCGAACCCTAATTTTCATTTAGAATTCGCACAAGGCGATCGTGATCAAGGACACCCTGCTGAACTGCGCGACGAATCCGGTGTACCTGGCGCAGAACAAGGATCCGAAGTTGCGTCTCACCCTGCAGGAATGCGCGTCGATTGGCGATGCGACTGGAACCGGAGAGGTGAGCACCAACTCGCCTAACAAGGAGACGTTTTTAGGTGGGCACGGAGTTTCGGAACGGGACCTAGCCTATCTTGTGCAGAATTTTTTGCTGATTAAAACGTTCTTTGTAGAATTTGCGAAACGACCGGAAAACCAAAGTTATGAGGGTTTAAAGTGTGAAAAAGGCCCAAAATGGCCTACTTTCGGCACCTATAAAATATAGCAGAATAAGTTTCCACGAAAACTAATTAGTGCATCTTGCTCAGAAAAGAATGCTCTTTCGAATGAGCCATGTCACGCGAAAATTTCAAAATTTCGTCAAATTGCTGGGTTCTTTAGGATTCCCGGGGGGGGAAAGTATTCCTGGGGGGGGAAAACACATTTTTTTCGGCGAAAGCCTAGATTTTTGTATAAATTGCGGATGCGTTTCTAAATTGTTTTTAACTATTCCTGTGCATAAAAACTACACACATTTTAACCAAAAAAATGTAAAAAATTAAAAATTAGGTCGAAAAATAGACCCAAAATGACCAAATTTTCGACTTTTTCAAACATTTTTCTAAATTTTTCTGAAAGTTATTCCGCTCTAAATATAGTTAAAACTTACTAAAAACAATTCGAAAACACTTTATATTTGATTACTAGGCCAACCGGGACCACCAGGAAAAAAATTGGTTTCCCCCGGGAATACTTCCCCCCGGGAATCCTAAAGAACCAATTGCTGAAATTTCACATGGGGGACCATGTCGTCTAAATTAATCTTTTTGAAAAAATCTTCGAACTTGTTTCATGAGATGGCTGATTCGAAAGAGCGTGATTTTCTGAGCAAGATGCACTAATTAGTTTTCGTGGAAACTTATTCTGCTATATTTTATAGGTGCCGAAAGTAGGCCATTTTGGGCCTTTTTCACACTTTAAACCCTCATAACTTTGGTTTTCCGGTCGTTTCGCAAATTCTACAAAGAACGTTTTAATCAGCAAAAAATTCTGCACAAGATAGGCTAGGTCCCGTTCCGAAACTCCGTGCCCACCTAAAAACGTCTCCTTGTAAGCCTAATTCGGATCCTAATGTAAGCCTTTATCCCAGCCTAAGCTTAAATCCAAGCCTAGGCCTAAGCATTAGCCTGAGCCTAAGCATAAACCGATGCCGAAGCCTAAGCCTTAGCCTGGAGCAAAGCATAAGCCTAAGCTTAAGCATAAACCTAAGCCTCTGTCTAAGCATAAGCCTAAGATAACCAGGTAATTGGCTCCGTCGCCCTTGTATGCGCTTCAGAAATTCTGCCGTCTGCATGCTCCGCCGACGCTGCCTCCTACGACGAACGTTCCAGCAGCCGCTGCAGCTGCCGGTCCTGAAGAGGACAGAACCTGGATAGTTCTGACGCTGGCTGCGTTGATCCTTCTACCCACCATTGTCGTCATTGCTGCGTGTCTTTGGTTGGTGTTTTTGTTCTCCGGAACGGGCGCCTTTTCGACCCTGGTTTTTTTGATGCCACCTGAAAGAGCATAGGTTTTTTGATTTTTCATTTTTTGAGCATGGTGAAATATGTATCCGAATCGGGATATTTGGGAGACAAGCGTTTTCCGCCGACCGTGTCTACAAGCGTTTCCAGGTGGAAGAGGCGGAACGATGAGCAGAAGAAGTCGAACAAGGTGAATAAGAAGCGGAAGCCGAGCGATGGTGACCCCGATGACTCTGAGAAACAGTCCCACTCGTCAAAGAAGGAACAAGCCGAGGCTTCCGATGCATCAAGCAAAAAGCAAAAAGGCGTCCCGGCCGATGCGCCGGCCGATGCGCCGGCTGATGCCCCGGCCAACGCTCCGACCGACGGCGAAACCCCCAACGCGAAAGTAGCCCGGGCTACCGGCCCGGTCACCCCCGCCAATTGCATCGTCCGCAGACCTGTGCTCGAAGTGGCCAAACTCCGTGATGCACACTACCTCAGCAAGGGCAATGAGGTAGGGAAGCTCTGAAATAGTTACGTCTCACGTGAGAAACAACATGTCGAAAGTTTTTTAGGTTCTGGGATGTTAGCGGGGCGGGGAGAAACCACTTTTTGGGTTAGAGCGCAGTTCACCCACCCACCCTAAAGTATACCAAAATACTCGCCAGAGCAAGACGAACATTTTGGTATCCTTTACATACCTGTAGCTGAACAGGCTGGGGGGGGGGACTAAACTGCACTGAAGCACTTTTTGTTTTCCTCCTACGCCTACCTACCGGTTGATGAAAGCTAATGTAGTTTTGGAACTTTTTCACTGGTTTTGCTGGCTAGAAATTAAAAAAAAAGATATTTTGTAAAAATTTTTTAAAAGATCGAAAGAAAAGTACATTTTTGACCAAAAGGGTAAACTCACTGCACTCTTACCAAGAAGCGATCCTTTTGAATATAAAAATGTCTTTCATTTCAGCGCTACCATTTCGAGGACAAGGACCTTCGCTTCGAGGAGCTCCCCGTCTGCGAGGACCTGGTGGCAAGAGCGATTGCTCACGTAAGCTATAATATCTCTCGGTTTTGCCCTCGCTCGGAACTGACCCTCGAGCCCTTACGCTCAGTAATAGTCATAAACAATGGGCAAACGCATCCCCTATTCATGAAAAAAACTCGCGCCCATAACCCGCTTCGCGGGCTTTGCGTACTAGGTGCTTTGCGCCTTGGCATGAAAAATTTGGCTTTCCGATAGCTCGGGTTCTTCGGACCCTTCCGCTTTTTCGACCATACCCGCGAGTGCAATCTGCATGAATGCGGAAATTTTTATTTTTTGTTTGACATTACGCAAGCCCTCCAAAAATTAGCCTCCAGGCCCACCAAAAATGAATAAAGCCGGCTTTAACTTTGTAAACTTGTATTTTATCGAGATTCTGGAAACTCCATCGCAAGGAGGAGGGTCGATTACCCCTCGTGAAGAAGAATTAGGTCATTTTATCGACAGGAAGTCCCTACAAACCGCCTCAGAACTGACATCCACACAAGCACGCACACAGACAGATACACTCCAAAATTATGCAAGGTTGGATCTAAGCCTGTTCCGGAAAAAGTGGGTCTTGGAGTCGCGGTGTATACGTGGTGCCCTAGAACTAGTTGCGTTTCTTTGATTCGTTGTTGTGCTCTGATAGGATGTGTTTAGGCAAAAGTCGAGGCGCCGGCGCGGGACCCGAACAAGCCCTACAAGAAAGTCACGGTAGCGCCAAACTGGGCGGTGATGCGACTCGGAGTGGAATTGTCGGTGAGTAAGACTTCGGGCTTCTGACTCCTCCCCGCTCTCGTGTAGAACATGATGGTGTTTTGCTGCAAAAATGCTGCTGATAATTCTAGGACGAGTTGCTGCGCTGCTTCGAGGCGAACACGCAGACCAACTCCGATGAGATCGCGACCATAAACGTGCCCCCTCCGCCGTGGCAACGCGATCCGGACGCCGTACGGCTCGTCTACAGGCCGAAGGCAGAGGACGACCAGCAGGAGAACCAGGGGTACGGTGAAAGCGTTGTTGTTCTCGCGCAAGGGGTAGTGGTTCTTTCGCATCATCGGGGGCGGGGCTATAAGATAAACCCCCTTTTCCGACGCAGCAAGCCGTTTCAGGCTGAACTACGAGGACGATACCGAGATGGACGGGGCGGGGGACGGTACCAAATCAGTCGACCAGCCCGTCAAGGTCATTTCCTTCTTCGAGGCCGCGCTGCCGTGCCAATCGACACAACCGTCCGGCTCGCAGATGTTGGGCGAGGACGCGACGCAACCATCCGGGCAACGGTCAACCAAGGGCGATGCCATGCCACAATCCGCGCTTGCGTCGGCTGCCTTCGACCCGACGCAAAAGACGAGCTCCGAATCGGGCGACGCCTCCACGCAACGCTCCGGAACCGTGCGGCTGCCGGCCGGCGTCGAGCCGGACAGGTCAGTGGGGTTAGCGCGCTGTAACGGTCGAGTCGCGTTCACTTTAGGGGCTATTACCGGCGGGGAGTTTGACTTGATTGACGGATTGATTGATCGGTCTTTACTTTACGCAACTTCTGCACACGTTCCCTTTCCAGCATCTCCATCGCCGAACCGTCTACAGACGCGCCCGTGGTCAACTTCTGGCTGCAAGCTGACGATAGCCAAGGACCGGATGCACAAATTGTTCCTACACTCGCCGACCCCGTCACATCGCCAGCTGATGACCGCGCACCGCACGTCGCCGTCCCAATCGAAATGCCAGCCGGATTCGGCCGCAATGATCAGGAGATGCAATTGGAGCCGGCGGACCAGTAGGCGACAGAGTTATAATCCTACTATATATAAAAAATAGTGTTTGTGTGTTTGTGTGTGGACACTTTGCATAAATGGCTCGAAAAAACCGGGTTACCAAGATATCGAGAAGGGGGAAGAATTTTAAGGCCCGTTCGAAAGGTATTTAGGGGTAGTCGAAGGCGTAGATTACTGCACGCTTATCGGATTTTTAAGAAAATGACGATTTTTGCCTTATTTTATTGTTTTTAGAACCTATGGAAATGCCCTCATTTGCATACAGAGGGTTCGGAGGCTCATTTCGAATTTTGACGCCCTCGGGGTCGGTCGTTTTTGCTAGCATTAGCGTTGGGAGGCATTGCGCTAATGCAAATTCGCGCTAATTATGCAAAATGTCAACTTTTCAAGAGCCCCGCGCAAAGGCCAGGGGTGAAAAGCCGCGTAGCGGCTTTTCAACCCTGGTAACTATTAATAACAGCTTTCTAAAGTTAAATTTTCTTGTAATAACTAAAACAAACTAGTTTCGGGCGGCCGTGTCAATCGACACGACCGTCCAGTCGGGGGAGCAGGGGATTATTTAGACTTATAGTGCAGTTTACCCCCCCCCCACCAGCCGGCAACCAACTTTTGTATCCCGGCTCGCTGTTCATCTACAGGTGTGTAAAGGATACCAAAATACTCGCCAGAGCAAGACAAATATTTTGGTATATTTTACACACCTGTTGATGAACAGGGAACCGAGATACGGGTGGGAGCCGGCTGGGGGGGGGACTGCACCCCAGCCTTATTTAGAGGTCTCGACTTCTTTCGAATTCGTTCCCTTTCCAGCGCCTCCAACGCCGACCCGTCAACAGACGCGCCCGTGATCAACTTCTGGCTGCAAGCTGACGACAGTCAAGGACCGGCACATATTGTTCCTGCCCTCGAACTCGCCGAGCCCTTCGCACCGCCAGCTGATGGCCGCACGCCGCCCGTCGCCGTCCGGATCCAACTGCCAGCCGGATTCGGCCCCCATGAGGAGACTCAAATGGAGCCGGAGCTCGAGCAGTAAGCCACATAATTATAAAAAAACCACTAATAACAGTTTTCTAAAAAGAAAATTATTTTTTTCTTTAACAACTGAAGCAAAATAGTTTCGGCCGACTTGGTCAATCGACAGAACCGTCCAGCCCGGCGGGGGGCGGGGATTATTTCATGATCTCGACTTGACGAAGTCATCCGCGACTTTGGAACACGTGCACTTTCTAGCACATCCAGCATCGATCGGCTTTCATACGCGGCCATGGTCAAACTAAAGCTGCAAGGAGCGGCAGCACAAATTGTTCCGGAACTCGTCGAACCCGTCGCACCGCCAGCTGAGGCACGCCCGCAGTTCGTCGCCGTACCAATTGAAGAGCCGGCTGGTCATTTGACTCAAATGGAGCCGGCGCTGGACGAGTAAGCGGCTTAATTATAATAAAGACTAATAACCGTTTCTAAAGTTATTTTTTGTTTGTGGTAACTAAAACAAAATGGTTTCGGCCGGCTAGGCCAATCGAAACAAACGCCCATCTCGGGCTTGACTTGACGAAGTCGTCCGTGACTTTTGAGCAAATAAACTTTCCAGCCCCTCCAACATCGATCGGCCTACATACGCGTCCGTGGTGAAATCGTGGCTGCAAGCTGACGACAGTCAAGGACCGGCACAAATTGTTCCTGCGCTCGAACTCGCCGAACCCGTCACATCGCCAGCTGGTACACGCCCGGAGTTCGTCGCCGTCCCAATTGAACTGCCGGTCGCTTTCGGCCCCCATGATGCGACTCAAATGGAGCCACCGCTAGTCCAGTAAGCGGCAAAGTTATAATAACGGCTAATAACCGTTTTCTAAAAATAGGCAATTTTTAATAATAACCGTAACAGACTAGTTTGGTCGGGGAAACCAAAAATATAGGCCGTGCTATCCGACACAACCGTCCATCCCGGGGAGAGGGGAGTATTGCGAGGGTTTGGCCTTGACGAATTCGTCCGCGACTTGTCGCAAGTTCACTATACATGGGTCGACGCTTGCATGCGCCGCATAAGCGTGACTGGCCACGCTCTTCCGGAGCGTGGAGAACCACGCTTATGCGGCGCTATATGCGCGATTTTCCACGCTCGCACTTTAACTCGAGATGCAAATCAAAAATGGAATGGCCATATATCTATGATTTCGATTTGCTAAAATGGATTACCGACACATAACTATCAAGTGCCTGTTTAATTCTTCATAAATAGACATTATAGGTAGTGGTTTAACATTTGATACTTAACTTCTTGAAAACTTATCGATTTTTACGTATCCATGCCCTTGGAAAATTTTGATTTTGCATTTTTTGAAACTTTGCATAAGTGTTTCCGGAGCGTGGCCAGCCACGCTCATCTTGGCGTGGTTTGTTAAGAGCCACGCGCGCCAGCGTGGCTCTCCACGCTCCGGAAGAGCGTGGCCAGCTACGCTAATGCGGCGCATGCAAGCGTCAACCCATGTATAAAGTTCACCTTCCAGCGCCTCCAACATCGAGCGGCCTTCATACGCGGCCGTGGTCAAATCGTGGCCGCAAGCTGACGACAGTCAAGGACCGGCACAAATTGTTCCTGCGCTCGAACTCGCCGAACCCGTCGCATCGCCAGCTGATACACGCCCGGAGTTCGTCTCCGTCCCAATTGAAGAGCCGGCTGGGTTCCGCCCACACGATGAGATTCAAATGGAACCGGCGCTAGACAAGTAAGCCACATAATTATAAAAACGACTGACAGTTTTTTAAAAATAGGCATTTTTAATAATAACAGAAACAGACTAGTTTGGTTAGGGGAACCAAAAAATAGGCCGCGCTAACCGACACAGCCGTCCATCTCGGGGGAGCGGAATTATTGCGAGAGTTTGGCCTTGACGAAGTCGTCCGCGACTTGTCGCAAATTCACCTTCCAGCGCCTCCAACATCGATCGGCCCTCATACGCGGCGGTGGTCAAACTCAGGCTGCAAGGGCCGGAAGCACAAATTGTTCCGGAACTCGCCGAGCACGTCGCACCGCCAGCTGATGAACGCCCGCAGTTCGTCGCCGTGCCAATTGAAGAGCCGGCTGGGTTCGGCCCCCATGATGAGCCTCAAATGGAGCCGTCGCTAGACGAGTAAGCGGCATAGTTCCAATAACAACGGTTCTGGTTCGTTAGCGGGGGGGGACATTTTTTGGTCCATCGCTTAAATTGCTTAAATATGTGGCGCTGTATGTAAAACTATGCGCGGCGCCAGGCCTGATCGAAAAATGCCGAATATTTTTTTCCCAAGAATTGCATTAAAAATATTTTTTCGATTCTTTTAAAAATCTGATATGTCTGCAGACCATTCCACACTTAATGACGTATCATAGAGACCTGAAAACAATCCACTCTGGAAAAATTCGAGCGTACTTTCCAGCCCCTCCGGCACCGACACGTCTTCATACGCGCCCGAGGAAGCGCAAATTGTTGCTCCACGCGCCGAGCCCGTCGCCCGGCCAGCTCAGCCACGCCCGCAGGTCATCGAAGTCGTTGAAGAGGTCGTTGAAGAGGAGCCGATTGGGTTGCGCGCGATTGAGGATACTCGAATGGAGCCGATGCCGGAACGGTAAGCGACATAATTATAATCCTACATTACAAGGTGTCCCAATAACCCCCCCCCCCCCCCCCCTGAACTCAACGCAAAAGTACCGGATCGGAATGATAGTTACAGTATTCGAAAGTTCTTGAAAGACCAGTTTGCAATAATCTTCAAAACCATGCTTTTTATTTAAGTGCGCCATTTTACAAGCCATTTTGTAAAATGTTACCGCTTTTTGGGGTTGCATATGAGCTATTTTGTGTCTCAATTTCTGCAAGCAAATGACCGGATGTGGTCGTGAATCAGATACAGACACCAGACAACATGCAACTTCCGTCGTTCGAAAGCGAAAAAAAAGCACGCTGCCATTTTCAGTAAACGTTTTAAATTCCCTTTCCAAACTCTGTTCGAAATTTCCAGTCGATCGGTTTTGAAATCGGCGTGACCTTTTTTATTGGGACACCTGTCTTTGAAAAATCAGATCCTCGGGAAAAAAAATTGAACTACCCCCCGATGACGCGAAAGAACCCTGTTTAGAGCCGCGGAGCCCGACCCAGAACCTGGTCATCCGCCCAACGAGGGCGTGTCTGATGAGGAATCTGGCTCGTCCGGCTGGCAGCCTGACCCCGCGAAGATAGCGTGGCACGCCAGCGAGATGAGGCGTTTATATCCGTGCCTGTGCAAGGATATAACCGACGCCGAACTTCGTGAACGCCTAACCGCGATTTCGATCGCGGTCCATGAGGGCCGAAAAGCCCAGCGAGCCGAGGCTGGGAAAGACCCGGGCCCAACTAAGAATACGTGGGGGAACTGGTGGGTCGGATGAAAGCTTGGTACTGGAATGTTAGCGGCGCGGCGGGGCGGGGGGGGGTGAATCTATTTAGACCTATCAGAGCCTCGGAAATCAAAATTTCGAATTTGAGAATCTCGAAGGGATTACTAGGCTGGATTCAGGGCTTTGGCGTGCAATTTCCAGAGCCTTTGATGCCGATTTAGACCATGGAAATTTCGAGATTCTAAAAATTCGAGATTTTGAAAAGTTAGATTCTGAAAATTTGAGATGCTGAAAATTCGGGATTCAGATTTTCGGGATTTTGACAGATTCCCGAAGAAAGTGTGTTTTGGGTTTTTTTTTCGTATTATCGGGGGACCAGTATTTTAAGTTAGTTAGTTTTAAGTTAGTAGTTAGTTAGTTTACTTTCAAAAAAGTTAGAAAAATGTTTTAAAAAGTCTAAAATTGGTCATTTTGGGTCTTTCCCCCCCCGATAATCCTACAGGTTCTATAGGATTTTTCGACCTAAAATTAAATTTTTTAATTAAAACCAGGTTTGAAAAACCGCTTCGCGGCTTTTCAACCCTGGCCCCGTCTAGGATCGATGAAGTATTGACTTTGCATAATTCTTGCCGAAAACCGCTCACCAAAAATGAAAAGCGCGCCCTCTCTTCCTTTTTATAAGCCATTTCCACTTCCGGCGTATGCTAATTGCTTCCTAACAAAGAGGTTGGCCGAAAACTTTACAAAAACCTAATTTTAATATCGAAAATAGCAATTTTTCAAAACTTTTATGTGTGTGCAGTCGATTCCAGCCCCTTCTTTACCCTATGACGTTTCTTCCCTACCGAAAAAATGCTTCCCTGAGGCTCTAGGTGCGGAACATCCAAACGGAAGTGTATGCAAATATACACACACACACAAACACTATTTTTTTATATATAGTAGGATAGTAGGATGTGGGTAGTTTTTATGCTCAGGACCATTTATAAACGCATGCGCTATTTAGAAAAAATTTAGGCCTGGGCCGAAAAAATTGGTTTCCCCCCGGAAATACTTCCTCCCCCCCCCCCCGGAAATCCTAAAGAACCCAATTTTTTTTCGACAGTATTAGACGGTTTTTCGAGTTGAAATCGAGTGGAAAAAAATACTGCCGGGAATTAGACCCCCCCCCGCTAACCACCCGCCCCACCCCACACCCGCTAAAAGTTCATTACCAAAACGGTTCAGATCTCCGATAATTTTTGGGATTGATTTTGATCGATATATCATCTTTTTTGCAGGTTACGCTGTTGTTGTCCGCGTTGGTGTAAGCGAAAACAGCAAAAATCCGCGCCGCCAGCGGTACACCAGAAGCAGATAAAGGCCGCCGCCGCCAGCAAGTCGCGAATCCCGCCGGTTCGTGGGTTTTCCTTCGCCTTTGGTTTTGGGGTTCTTTCGCATTATGGGAAAACGTGATTTTCTGCAAACACTTGAGTTATTGATAAATTTGCATTTTTCGAAAATATTTTGAGAAACCCCCCTCCCCACAGCCTAAGGGAAGGGTCACAAAGATTTTGGTTTTTTCGCTATTTTTGTCGGGATTTGAAATACGCCATTCGATAGAGCGTCGAAAAATATACTGCGAGTTTTAATTTGAGCCTATAATAATGTAAATTAAAAAAGTTATCCCCAAAACCTGTTGGCTGGGGGGGGGGGGGGGTAAATTAAAGTGTAGCCAATATTTTATTTAAATCCGGGGGCTTTTCAGCTGCACGACCAGCCGGTGAACTGCGATGCCACTGAGATAGCGAGGTACTGCACCTTGTCGTTTATGTACCTGCGCCACAAACTACTCGATCCGTGCACCCTCGCCCGCGATGCCAAATTGGTACGGTGGCTATGTCTTTCTCACTACCGGGTGTGCCCAAAAAAGTGCCCGCACTAGCGGCCCGGAGGAAGCCAGGATTGGGATCGTTCCTACCCCATCCGAAAGCCCTTGAAAGGCCAGAAAACAAACGCCGTGACGTCGACAACGTCACGTCGTCGACGAGACGACATTTTGAAAATAAGACGCTTTCAGCAAGTGCTGAGCGAGACCCACAAGAACGCGGTCGCCTGGGGGTACTACGCCTACGGGATGATGGCCAGGAAGCAGCCCAACATCGTCCAGATGGACGGGGCGACGGTCATCATCGCCGATTTGCATGGATCTGTGGGTACCAACCGGGGGTTCCGGACTGTTAGCGGGGGGGAAGGCTAACGGTCCCGGTCCTGAACTGTTAGCGGGGGACCGAGCGGGATTTTTATTGGGAGGAACCAAACTGTTCCCTGTGATTCTCGATGGTCCTATAACAGAATATAAACGATTGTTTATAGCATTCTACATATTTTTAGATGTACAAATGATATAGAAATAATCAAAAAATTTGAAAATTTTTTGACTTTTTGTCAAAAATGCAAGAAAAAGGTAAAAATTTTTGAATTTTGAAAACTTTTAGTAATATTTTTGATAAATTTTAGCAGGGAAAAGCTGTTAAAAACGCCATAAAAATACCTTGTACTTCATCAACCGGTCGGAATCGGTGGAGAACAAAAGTGTTTTGCTCCGCTAAAAGTTTTCGAATTTTCAATATTTTTAAAAATATTTTCTGATATAACTTTGAAGCAATTAAAAAAACGATAAAAATAAACTGTATTTTTTTACAAACAACATCGATAAGCGGAAGAACTCTTTTACAGCTTCCCCAAGCCATCGTGGACCTGATGAAATACTACCATGATTGTATCAAACATCCCGGGTTGAAGTTTGTTGTTTTTATCCCCTCCTCATCATGTCTTTTTATTCGTCTTGATTCCCCTAATTTTCCAGGCTTCTCGTGCTGGGTGATGTGGTGGATCGGGGTGCGGCCTCGCACGAGACGATGCTCCTTTTCATGTCCCTTGCCGTCCTCGATCCCAAGGTACCGCTATTTTGGGAGCTTTTGCGTTATCAGGGGGGGGACACATTTTTATCTCAAGATCCAGTGTTTTCAAACAGAAATAAGGGACGTGTTTTTAAACTTCTTTTTATTCCAAACGTACTTTACAAATTGTCATTAAAAGGTATCTAGAACATCGATTTTTCGACCGAAATGCCGATTTTAAAAATTTTTAGCTAGTTTTTCTAGTTTAAATATGTTACTAAAATTATTATTAGAAAAAATTATTAGACGTTTCTAGACTAATACAAGATGCTGCCCCCCCCCGATAATGCGCGAGTGCCCAACGTTTCGCTCTAGATAGTGATCATCCGAGGGAACCACGAATCAGCCGACATCAACGCCAAGTACGGCTTCCGCCATGAGTCGTATGCGCGCTTCGGCAACGACCTCGGCCACCAGATCTACACGCACGCCAACTGGGCCTTCAGGTAAATTTGAATTTCCAAATTTTTATAAACTTTGAAATTGCGAAACTTTGACCCTCGCAAGCTATTCAGTCCGATGTCCTGCATTTTGCGTAAAACATAAAAAATTAAAAAATTTTCAATTATGGTTTGTTTTAATGCATAGAAATCATGTAAAATTTATGTATTTTTTACTAAAAGACCTTGTAACATTTTACGTTTAAGTATAGTAAAAAGGGCTTAGGAACGCTTTATATGGAAATTCCATAGTCTATCTTTAAATTTCTAGGCAAATGCCGCTTGCCGCCGTCGTGCAGGGCCGCATCTTTGCGATGCATGGCTTCATCGGTGAGTTTTTGGCGGTTTTTGGCGGTACAGCACCTTCAGACCCGGATTCGAAGACGCTCGAAGAGTACAACAAAATCGACCGGTTCTCCCGCGAGCGCCCCCGCGCCATGACGTCGTTGATGTGGAATGACCCGCACACGGGTATCATCGGGTACGGCTGAGCTGATGAATTTCTGGTTCTGGACTGTTAGCGGGGGGAACCAGATTTTCCTTCTGTTTCACTACGGCCCTATCACAAAAAATCAATTATTTCATAGCATTTTCCATAGTTGCCAGTTATAAAACAGTCTAAAAATCATGAAAATTTGTGAAAAATTTTAAATTTTTGGTCAAAGGCGTATGAAAAGCGACCAGGAAAGGTCATAGTTTCGAATTTTCAAAATTTTCAAAGTTTTTGTTGTAGCCCTTCCCCCGCTAACAGCCCAGAACCGACTTTCTCCGTTTTTCGGTGCAAGTACGTCATTTGCGTTGCAGGTGCAAGCACAACGAGAGGCGTGGCGGTGCCTATCAGGTCGGCCCGAATGTTGTCTACCACTTCATGGAAGGAAATCAGTTCGACCTCATCCTCCGTGGCCACCAGGTGCGTTTCAGGGAAATCGGGTTAAAGGAGGGAGAGAGAGCGAGCGAGAGCGAGCAAGCGAGAGGGAGAGTGAGAGTGAGAGAGAGCCAGAGAGAGCAAGAGAGAAAGCGAGCCACGAAAGGAAGAAAGACGACGAAAAGATAATGAGAGTCCCTGAAAACGTTTCCAAGCTATGGAAAAAACTCTTTCTTTCAGGCCCCAATGGCTGGCCACGAGTGGTACATGGGCATCAGCGTGTGCACGTGCTTTGGCAAACCCGACTACGACCAGACGGGCAACTTCGGCTGCTACGTTCTTGTCGACGAGGAGAGCTGTGTCCATTTCACGCTCTTTGCCGGCGACCTGTCGCAGCCCATGCCATGTTTGTTTGTTTACTGAGGACCAAATGCTTACATAAAAATCTTGAACAAAATAAATCTTATCGTTTTCAGCGGAGGAGTGCGTGAAGAAGATGTACCGCACGGCCCAGCATTTCACTGTCCACGGCGATCAGACCATGAATGAGCAGGTATGTTCTCCAAGCTTAGGCTTTGGCATAGGCATACACAGGCCCGTAGCGGAACCGAAATTTCGGGGCCAAAAATTTTGGCGACCCCCCGTCGCCACTTTTTAAAAAACCGAAAATCGCGTCAATAATAGCGCCGCAGGCAAAAAAAAATCGCACAAGGCGTTCGCTACACTCAAATTCGTGTGAAAACAAGCCAGAAAACGCGCCGCAGGCGAAAAATTTCTATGAACAATAGATTCACCAATGAAAAACCAGCGCCGCAGGCAAAAAATTTTGAAAAAATAAGCTTCATATACGTAAAAACTGTTTGAAAAACAGTAATAAATAGCGCCGCAGGCAGAAAAATATTTGTAACTAAAAATCATAAGGGTCCCCCCTTATGAATTTTTCGAACCTCGACCGATTTCGGGGGCCCAGGGCCCCCTGGGCCCCCCCCCTCCTACGGGCCTGGGCATACATATGCTTAGGCATAGCGTTAGACTTAGACTTAAGCTTAGGCCCAGCCATAGGCTTGGCTTAGACTTAGGCTTCAGCTTAGGTTTACCTTTCCTGTTTACCTTTTTTCCTCCATTCTAATTTAATTTTTCATTTTCAGTTGATCCAGTTTCTGAAGACGCCAAAGACGTGGATCAAAACCATCTCGGACGCGATCGGATCCCGCAAGAAGATCCACGAGGTCCTGAAGAAGTATGGCGACCGGCCGGTGCCGCCCCTGCCCGCCGAACTGTGCCCGGACGACGTCGATCACCGCTGCTAGCATATATGATAGCATTAATTTTTTCATTTTTTCTGTGTTTTTGTGTGTGTATTACTGTCTCTACGGTGTATTTTTCCTTGAATAAATATGGATGAAGAGGATCCGCAGGAATTTAGAAAAGCCTAAGCCTATGCCTAGGCCTAAGCCTGAGCTTAAGCCTAAGCCTAATCACCGTAAGCCTAAGCCTAAGCCTAACCTGAAGCCTAAGCCTACGCCTCAGTATCCGGATCAGGGTACTCGACGGTTAGCGGGGGAGGGAGTCTAGGCGAGAGAAAAAGAAATTTTTTCCAGTTGTTCCTGAATCAACCTAGAAAACAATTTTTATAGCATTTTACGAGGTTTTTGGATAGAAAAACAGCATAAAAAATTATGCAAACTTGCGCATTTTTTTAGGATATAAATGTTCTTCTTATTGGACGATGTATGGAACAACTGCAAAAAAATTTCCAATTTTTTCAGAATTCAATATCTCGAAACATTGTCGACTATATGGTCGGTTAAAGATTATGCAAAAAAAAAATCTCGAAAAAGGTGGAATTTTTCAAGATTCAAAAATTAAAAAATCTCTAGTAATAAATACCGGGAAAAATACAAAATAGATTGGTAACGGGTAGCCATGTTAGGTGGGAAAAAGAAAAATCAGCTTTTGCCCAAGCCCCCCCCCCCGCTAACAGTCCAGTACCGATCAAAATTTGACCGGAAGCGGAAACATCAAAAATCCGCCGGGCCAGCTGCAGCTCGTAAACAAATTACAAAAATGCAGTTCCACCTCTTCGACCGCTTCCCAATGTACGATTTTGCTAAAAAACCCTGATTCCAGGTTTCAGGGCCTGCCTTCCATTTTTGAACTACCTGTCTCCCGAACTGGCATCAAACTATCAAAAATGCGCCCGGCAGCACGGCGGTATTCTCTCTCTTAGCTGGCCATTTTCGAGGAGAAAAAGTGAGCTCCCCCGCCGTGGTTTGGCAGACCTGAGTTGGTGCCGATCTCGGGATCAGATCGCCGGAAAGTGCACCTAAAACGGGTCGCTTGCTCAATTTTTACCCGCCAATCGGGTTGTATAAAAGCCGGGGGGTTTCGCGAGCAAAATATCAACTTTCCAAAAGTCGTCCAAAACAACCATGAACGTCTTCGCACCCCTGATCGCCATCTTCGCCATCCTCGCCCTGGCTGCCGGTGGGTTACGGTAGTTTTACAAGTTGAAGAGTTGATCTTAAATGCGTAAAACCCATAAAAAACGTAACTTCAAAATTGAAAACACAATAATTAGAAATTTCAAAATCATAGCTGTTTATTTTGCAGGAAAATCCTAATTTTCGAGGAAAATTTTTCTTATCCATTACGTCGTTCTCCCTCTCTCCCGCATTCTCTCCCGCTCTCTCTATCGCCCTTGCTCTATCGCTTTTTCTTTCTCGCGCTTTCTCTTTCTCTCGTTCTCTCTCTCTCTCTCGCTCTCTCTCTATCTCTGTCTCCCTCACTCTCTCTATATACCTCTCTTGTTCTCGACTTCTCTCTCGTTTTCCCTTTCTCTCGCTCCTATCTCTCTCTCTCTCTCTCTCTCTCTCTCTCTCTCTCGCTCTCTATCTCTCTCTCTCTTTCTTTCTCTCTCTCTTTCTCTACCACCTGACTCGCTATCGCTAGCCTCGTGATTCAAAATAGAGGGAAAACGGGAAAAATAAGGTTAGAATCTTTACATTCTAAAGGACCGTTGAAGTCAAATCCATCATTTTTGGCTACCAACGTATATTAATGCGTTTGTCGATAAGCCTGACATTTCAGCCGGCCCTCACCACGATAACCATCACAACGACCACCACGACAACCACCACAACGACCATCACGACAACCACCACAACGACCATCACGACAATCACCACGGAGGGTATGTTTTATCGTACTTATGCTTTTAATCGTTAACTTATTTTCTTGATTTTCATAGTTTCATCCATTTATTTTAATTGCTTTTTTCAGCCCCTTCCACGGTTAAGCGACGTGCCACTTCACACGATGCACACAACACAAAGACTTTAAACTGCCACAACATTCCGGTATCGATAAAGTTTCTACGGGCTATGTCTAACCTGAAATCGTGAAAAAGAATACACTTCATCGTTTTATAATTAGCTTTTGGGGTCTTATTATTCACATTGAGTTCAAATGGATTGCCAAGTAGGTAAAGGCCGCTTTTATGAGCTAATCCAGAAGCTAGTCCCAGTCCATAGGCGTGTTTCGTAGCTTCTCAAACAAGATACAGTCCGCGTCATAATGATAGGTTCACCCCATTTTAGGACAGCTTGTTAATCTAGAGTAAGTTTCGGATAAAACGGGCGTTGTAATCAGTTAGGGCATAGCTCAAAACCTTCAAGGCTTGGTTAGAAAAGGCTTCTAGATTTTGAAGGAATTTTATCTCAAAAAAGGCTTACTGGAACCCGCGTCATAAAGATAGGTTCACCCCGAATTTTTCCGCAAAAATCATACATTCGGATTTTACTTATATTTTCAATTAAGTAGCATTGAAGTGTAAATGAGTTTCCTATACTTGGTTTGACTCGAAAGGTTTCAGGGAATTTTTTGCAAAAGTCCATTTTAACAAAGAAATTACTATTTTTGTGGCAATACGGGCTGGATTTAACCGGAAGCGCAAGTTCCTTCTATGGATTTGAAAGAGCAGCTCAAGACAAGCATTTTGGTATATAACAACATCTTTGGCTTCGGCGATAGCGGGGTGACACACACAAAGAAAGTTGGGGTGGACTGCGCAAGTAAGGATTGGCGGCCATTTAATATGGGCCCCAGTAGGTTCGATGTTTCTAGACCTGTATCTTCGTGAACACCTTAGTTCCTATAGTCGTTTATATACCAAAATGCTCGTCATTAAGTGCACTTTCCGAGACCGCCTACATACTAAAAATTTAAAACGAGTATCGCCGGATAATCCTAAAAAAGTGTGATTTCTTTGTTAAAATCGACTTTTGCAAAAAATTCCCTGAAACCTTTCGAGTCAAACCAAGTATAGGAAACTCATTTACACTTCAATGCTACTTAATTGAAAATATAAGTAAAATCCGAATGTATGATTTTTGCGGAAAAATTCGGGGTGAACCTATCTTTATGACGCGGGTTCCAGTAAGCCTTTTTTGAGATAAAATTCCTTCAAAATCTAGAAGCCTTTTCTAACCAAGCCTTGAAGGTTTTGAGCTATGCCCTAACTGATTACAACGCCCGTTTTATCCGAAACTTATTCTCGATTAACAAGCTGTCCTAAAATGGGGTGAACCTATCATTATGACGCGGACTGTATAGGAGCAGGAATCGATATTCAAGCTCCCGAGTCCCCTGATCTTAAAAAAAATTGGAATTAGGCGAATTTTTATCAGATTGTTATAGTTTTTGGCGCTTTAGTGATTCTTCGGTAGAAAATTACGGTAGCTTGAAAAATCTCAAGGCCAGCAGCCGGTTCACTGTAATCCAACGGCTCTTTTCCGATTCAGTTTTTTCAAGGCTCTCAGCAAGGCATAAATTGGTTAAAGAGTGAGAGAGAGAGGAAGAGAGAGAGAGAGGGATAGAGAGAGGACCGATGAGACAGAGGCAGAGAGAGAGTGTGTGAGCGAGTGAGAATCCATTGGATTTTTCCGTTGGTTCGCTGTATGCAATTCAGTAAAAACGATGGATTTATGGCGGTTTAGATACGTTCAGATCATTATATTTTAGCTTCTATAGTTCTTGTCGGAGCACCTCTATTTGCGTCCCCAAGGTCCACGACGAGGAGGGGGAGGAGGGGGATGGAAGCGCCTGAAAAGTAAATTATACCAAATTTAATTAGTTAAAAACGCCGGCCTACAAACTACAACAAATATAATCTATAAGCTCCAATTAAAATACTTACTCGCGGCTGTGGCCCCCGCGTCCACCATGGCGACGACGCTCCGAAGATGAGGAGTGCGAGTGACGCCCAGCTTTAAAGGGCCATTGAAGTCTGAAAATCCATAACCCTACCGCTCGCCAACGCCGCCAGGGCAACCAGGACCAATAGCAAAATACCAAAAAGATTCATGATTTCTTGTTGATGGCATTGCTCCGTCGATTCCGCCTTATATACCCCGATCTTTCGCTCCTGGGCCAATACAGGGTGGAGCAAATCGAGAGAGCGCCGGCCTTGGGACGATCAGCGCCACTTTTTCGCACTTTCAATCGGCAAGTCCCGGTCAACAAGATGCAAAAAGACTTTGGAAATCTTGAATTTGGTCCTTTTCTACTCGCCCCGATCAATCTCGTTCCACTAAAACGATTTTGTGGCTGATGAAATGAGGAAATGAGTTTCGATATTGTTTAGAATTTGGAAAGGAGAGAGAGGAAGAGGGAGAGAGAGAGAGAGGGGGAGGAGAGAGGGGGAGAGCGAGAGAGGGGGAGAGAGATTGAGTGTGTAAGTGAGAGAGCGAAACGGAGAGAGAGAGAGAGAGAGAGAGAGAGAGAGAGAGAGAGAGGAAAGAGAGAGAAACAGAGAGAGGGGACAGGGAGTTAGAGAGAGTGAGAGAAAGAGAGGCCCAGAAAGAGCCGAACCGAGAAAGCAAAAACTACCACATTGTGCGCTAAAATAGCTTCGAAGAAATTTGTAAAGCATGGTTAACTATGATTTTTTTGCATTTTCTTTGACGCCCATATCGAGCTACAAAATTTCATTTTCGGTAAGTTTAGAAACTCGTCGAAACTACGTTGTTTACCAGAAACAATAACCACGGCTTGGCGTGTGCAAAAAATTGGATGTTGACAGGAAAAAAGGGTTGGCCAAAGAGTGAGCCTGAAGTCAGCGATTTTCAGTGACCTTTAGTCGAAGTTTGGCGAGCAACCAGGGGTAGACGGGTGCAAGGTGGTAGTGACGACTAAGTCTCAGAGTATAGTATATAGATTTTCATTCATTAAATCATAACGATAACGCCCAGCCCAAACCGGGCCGTAGGGGCCTGCCGTCATTAGTCGAGTTCGTAGCCTTAACTTGCGCGGAACAACCTACAGTAGCGTGCAAAAAGAAGGCAACACCCAGGAAGCTCTTGTAACTCGGCTGCCTCATTATATTTTGCACCAAACGGAATGTTTCCTGGTGTTTTCGATGCTGTAGAATTCGATGAGCAGGGTCCCAAGCCGCGCAAATGACGTTTAGTAGCTTAAATATCGAATTTAAAATAGCTCCAAAAAATCGACTTTTTCTAAAGACATTTTTCCGTTTCAAAAACATCACCATCGTGTTCAGCATAGTCGATTTACCCAAAGTCACTGTCGTTTGTGATGGGATTTGACTTGGCCTAGCCGGGAAGCGGAGTTTTCCCTGCGCCAAACGGGTCAAGGAGTGGGCTCGTCTGGGGGAAAGGTATTGCAGGCGCCCCCATCAGACCGATGGCGACCCCTATTAATCGCAGCTTCCTAGCCGACTGAAGACGTCCTAAGCAACCAGAAACATTCACTCTGGGTAAATCGACCATGCTGAACACGATGGCGATGTTTTTGAAACGGAAAAATGCCTTTAGAAAAAGTCGATTTTTTCGAGCTATTTTAAATTCGATATTTAAGCTACTAAACGTCATTTGCGCGGCTTGGGACCCTGCTCATCGAATTCTACAGCATCGAAAACACTAGGAAACATTTCGTTTGGTGCAAAATATAACGAAGCAGCCGAGTTACAAGAGCGTCCTGGGTGTTGCCTTCTTTTGCACGCTACTGTAGATCTATCCTCCTCAGCATAGCTACCCCGTCATCAGATCAAATAACCAACCTGAGCACCTGCTGACCTAAAATGTAACCTCTCCCTCTTTACCGCACTCAAAAACATCCCTGAAAGTCCAAAGCACACGCGCAGCCAGCAAGGCATTGGCTGAATCTTGCCGCCCCCATGGTTGACACTTTAGCAAACGAATGGGGCAGAGGTGCTTTAACTGGCTGTATAAAAACGAAAATTTTTGAAATTACCTCACGCCTTTGCCTTACATCAAATCAACATGAAGTTCCTGGCCCTGCTCCTTGCCATCTGCGCCTTGGTGTCCTGCGTCTTGGTTCAAGGTAAGTATTCATTGCGCTTTGGGTTGTTGTAGGTATAATTTATCCTTCGAGAGAGAGCGAGAGAGAGAGCGCGCGCGCGGGAGAAAGCGGGAGAGAGAGAGAGAGAGAGAGAGAGAGAGAGAGAGAGAGAGAGAAAGAGAGAGAGGAAAGCAAGAGAGTGAGGTAAGCAAGGTTACGCCGCGCGTCAAAAACCCGTGTTTTTTTGCTAAGCACGAATATAACCTAACATTATTTTTTTATCTCTAAGACTATATTTTAAGCCGCTCCTTGGCATACTGATTTCCATTTTTTTCAGCCCACCCTCATCCTCATCCTGGACCGATCGCGGGACCACCGCACCATGGACCCACTCATCATGGAGCTGCCCAACTAAAGCTACCTGAAGGCGAACACCATCACAAACAAGCACCTTCTCATCATGCTCCTGCTGCTCACCATCAGAGGTAGGTGACAGAGAGCCATCAGAAAATAGAAATGGTAAGGCTCAACGAAATTAGGGATACATATACTGGGTTTCGATACCGTGCCCTAGGCTAACTGCTTAGTCTCGAACAAACGCGATCACTCCAAAAGTTATTTTCACGGCTCGCCACCATCGCGGCTGAAGCAGACAAAGCTCAAGCAGCTATTGCGATTCTCGAGCTAGTCTGTCAAGAATCTTCCTTCACGCTTCTTAGTCGAATCCTGCGAGTGGTGTAAATAAAACAATATCTACCAACTTGACTGTCGAAATCAACTTATTTCAGAACCGAAATTGATACGTTCTGAAAAAATGAGTCCTTAAGAATTTTTCAACAGCTTCTCCTGGCTTACCAACTTTGGACTCCGATCAAAAAAAGCGAGCCCCTGTCGACCCTTTTTGACCCCCCGTGCAAAACACTGATGAATGACCAGCAGCCAATTTCGGCATAATGGCGCCGATCTGGGCGGTATCATAAACAGGCATATCAGATTTCCGGTGACTAAGCGTAGAGAGAGCCAGGGAGCGGAAGAGGGAGAGAGCCAGCGAGAGGGAGACAGAGCGTGAGTGAGACAGTGATATGAGAGAGAGAGAGAGCGCCCCCGTGAATGCGAGGGAGTGAGAGAGACAGAGAGGGCGAGAGAACGAGAAGGTGAGTGTGACAAAGAGAGTGCGAGAGAGCGTGGGAGAGTGAGAGAGCGAGGTAGGGAAAGAGTGAGAGTGAGAGAGTGAGCGATGGCGAGAGAGAGAGAAGGAGAGGACAGAGAGAGAAAGATAACGACAGATACGTCGAGCCCTCAGGTGTTGCCAAGAGATCAACAAATCACGCGGCTAGATTTGGGCGCTGATCATGGGATTCTGGGTATCACCGTCTGCCCCCCTCTGGCTATATAAACGTGCCCCCAGGGCATTTCCACAACCCCAACGCTTTACCCCCGACTTAGGATGAACTTTATTCAGCTGATCTGCGTCTTTTTTGCCGTCCTCGCCGGTCTTATGGTGCAGGGTGAGTCATGTTTTTCTGGCTAGCTATCAATTGAAACTTGTTCTTGGCTACGCTTAGATACGATCCCAGTACCGTAATTTTGGGAGTTATCAGAACCGCTATTTCGTCCAGAAAAATTTGTCAAAGAATTTGTCGATAGAATCTAAATGTAGGTTTTATGGCATTTCTGATTTTTCTAAACTAAAATTTGATCAGTGTAGGACCGGCTATCCAAAAATGAATTTATCTGACCAAGGAAAATTTTGTGCATTCTACGCTGGCCACAAACCAAGATTTATCGGCCGATTTTATTTAACGGAATTCACTTATCGGTTCTAAGCAGATTTTGGCATTGGTTCTCACGATTTAAAAATACCGCTTTGTTATGAAGTTATTAAACTGCCTTGAATTCTTTTTTAGCCGCCCCTAACCACCACCACGGCGGTCACCACAACGGCCCGGTCATCCATCTGCCCAACATTTTCGGCCATAACCACCACGGTGGACATCACGGAGGCGGACATCACCACGGAGGACATCACCACGGGTGAGCGGGCGCGAAAAACACCTGGCTAACGCATAATTTTAATGAATAATTTTGAACTTTAATAAATTTTATTATAAATATAAATATCAAAAATAAATAAATAAAATAAATTGAAAAACACGACTTGGATCATCCTCTCAAACGCACATTACTGAAGATGAAAATTGGATCAAAACTTAGAAACGCTTATAAAAACGTCTTAAACGACCTAAAAACACAATTATACAAGTTGCGGCGAGTAAAACAATTCTTCAAAGCTTTTTGAAAACCTTGAACACGTAAACCTTTATATCCCAATTTTTAGAAAAAAAATCATATAGCTGCTGAATAGCGATAGAAGCTAGAAACTTGCTTAAAAATTGAGTTTCTAAAAATAAAATCCAATAAAAAAAATTGGACAGCAAAAGAAAGCCGGGAGGCGCTATCTCTTTGAATATCATTTTTTCCCTTCACCATTCCTTTAATTAACTTCGTTCCCATTTTAGGCATGGCTACGGTCACGGGTACGGTCACGGACACGGCTACGGACATGGATACGGGCATCACGGCTAAACGCGCTTGCTTCGTTCTTTCTTCCGACATGAGTGATTTTCCACCCTGCCCCCATAATACGAAATAGCATTTATTGAAAATTCTGGTGCTCAATAAATTTATTGCAATACTTGGGCTTCAGCTCCATCATTATCATCATCCACTTTTGCACAGTAATATCCAGGCTGACTGGGATTTGGTTGTTCCGCGTAGCCATGACAGCATGGACCCCGGCCATCCGTACAGGGAGCTTCAGCACAGGGTTGCAGCTCATAGGGAGAACCACTAGAAAGATAAATTATTCAAGGTGAAGATTCAACAAGGCGTACTAGCCGCGAAACTTTCGGAATTCATCCGATCCTGGTCTTGATCTGTGCATTAATGACAGTCGGATATCAGGATTGAAAAACACGACATTTTTCGGAAATCCAGACGATACGGTAGCTTTAGAAATACATACATTTTGTTTAACTAAACTTACACGCACTGACATCCCGCCGGCTCACACGCTCGCTCCATTCTCTCCCATCCGCACATACCGCACGTGTCCGTGCAGTTGTTCATCGACTTCCACCCGGACCAGGCGCCGTGGCAGGGAGGCTAAAGTTGATCTCTCTCACTCTCTCTCCCTCTCTCTCTCCCTCACTCTCTCTGCTTAAAATCACCCACCGCCACAGTAGTCATCACGGGCTCCTGATCCCAAGCGCATTCGTAGTGCTTATCGGTCCTATTGAGGAATTTCTGATGGAATGGGCAGCAGGCATTTTCGGGGAATTCGCAGATCATCTCCGGGCAGGCCGCGATCTGCGTGGCGGGACCACTGAAACAGGTTCAGATTCTGGATGGCGAAACGCTGAGTTTAGTACTTTTTGGTTGCATAGGAATTACTCAGAGGGAGAGCGAGAGAGAGAGAGAGAGAGAGAGAGAGAGAGAGAGAGAGAGAGAGAAAGAAGAGAGAGAGAGGACCTACTCGCATAGGCATATATCCGGTTGACATTCCCTTTGCTGTGTCTTCCACCCACATCCTCCGCATGTCTCGCTACAGTAGGACGTGTCGTACCAGTCACCCCAGGTTCCAGTGCACTTAAAATGAAAAATGGTTGAAATGGATCCATTGTCAATACTAATTTAGGGTTTGAATTCATTAAATAGAAATCACAATTTAGTTAGCTAACCAGGGTAGGAGGCGCTCCTGTCGTATTCAGGGCCGGCACAAGGCAAAATGAGGGTAAATGGTGCTCATCCCCATCCATGCTGTACCTAAAAGCGTGGAATTTGGAAAGAGTCAATAGGTAACTTAAGCTACCTTCACTTTATATGAAAAATACCGATTTTCGGAGTACAGTTTTAGGAGTTTACCAGATTTTGAATGTGTTATCTAGATTTTGTTGCCAGATTCAACGTCTAGAGCTAACTTTTATCCACTTTTGTGCGGATCTACATGATGCTTTGGAGGACTGGGCTAATTTGCCGAGTTTTCCTACCAATTTCCATCGTCCGCCGACAGATACGCCTGGCCACAACCGTCACAATCGTATGGTTCTGCTAAAACATTCTTATTTTGTCCATTGGAGCAGCTAAAACTTGCCCTTCCCCCATTTCAAGAATTCGATCGTCGAGTTGTCCGTCCAGCACCAGGTTTTGCTAAAATTGGATGGAGCGCGATTTTGCTAATTTCTTGAGAAGATCAAAACTGATCGTAGCAAAATGGTGAGGCTGTAACTCCTACTCTGATTTTTCCACAAGCCCAATAATCACATAGCCGGCGACGTTATCTGGTTTTTTGGGATTAAAAAGGTAAATCAATGCTTTTCTTACAATTCCTGGCCATAGAAGAAAGTATGGCATTCTGGTAAGCATTATGGATGGAGGCTAGCTGTCCATGATACACCTTCGTACAAACGTCCTGCGCTTTCGTGAAGGTGTCGACTCAAAAATAGTGGTTGCTCGCTCTCTCTCTCTCTTTCTCGCTCTCTCTCTCTCTCTCTCTCTCTCTCTCTCTCTCTCGCCCTTCCCCTCTCGGTCTCTCTCTTCCCGTCCCTCCCTCTCTCACTCTCTCCTACTCTCCCTCTCGCGCTTCCTCTCTCTCTCTCTCTCACTCTTTCTCACCCGCTCACTCTCTCACTCTGGCCCGCTCACTCGCTCTCTCTCTCACTCTTTCTCACCCGCTCTCACTCTCTCACTCTGGCCTGCTGACTCGCTCTCTCTCTCGATTTCTCTCTCTCTCTCTCTCGCTCTCCTTCCCTCTCTCTCTCCCTCACTTACGATCCTGATTCAGCATTAGACAAGCACCAAAGGTATCATAATAAAGTCCCGCCGGACATTGAGGATCAGCGGCACTTTTCAGAAAATAAACAGCTAAAAACAGCAAGTACCTCATTTGTACCCCAGCCAAACGTGAAACTCGAGCTCGCGTTATCGCGGCCGCCAAAATAAGCCGGTTCAGGCCAACGGCTGCGTGCATTTTTTCGGCCAAAGAATATGGTGACGAATCGTCGGCTAGTGGGGATTAAATATTTTTATTAAGTCTATATCAGGTTTTATTATAACTTTTTGATGAATGGGTTTGTATTTTGGCAATTTAAAAAAAACTTATGCACATTAATCCACCTCAAGATTCACCCCAAACAATTTATTCGATGCTTGGTTTTGAGGAATATGCTGCTCTTCCTCGAGTCGTCCTCCAATTTTGGAGCACCGGCTTCCCAATGATCCCGTAGATGCTGGAAGTATTCGCTGGTCGAGTACACGAGGAAGATGTCCTAGAAATAACGGTGTTATGATTTTCGGTTTTATTTTCCGGGGTTTTGCATCAATTTAAATAGCAGAAAAAAAATTACATTTTTCTGTTTTGGAAGATGCGACGTTTTTTACGGAACGGTTTTTCACGAAACAGTTTTTGCATGAGTCCAGAATGAATTTTTTTATGTAAAAAAACGTCGAAAAGCTTTTGAAGGAACAAGAGAATGTATTTTGCAGTTTTTCATAGGAAACCGGCGACATTGGGCCGAAAATCGACATTTTATGCTGTATTTTAATGACGATTTAAACGGTTTTTACGTATAAATTCGTCAAAAAAGTAGTACTGCTTCCTCTATTTATTTAAAAAATTAATGCCTATGGAAAAGTTCTCCCCCCCCGATAAAAATAAAGTACTGTATTTTGAACAGGTGCGAAAGGCCATTTTGAGGCTTCGGCAAGATTTAAATCCTTGATTTGCCCAAGTTTTTTTGGAACCAACCTTCCCGGTGGTGGTCGATGCTTCTCTGCTCTCCTCCACCTCAACTTCCGGGGTCCCACTAAACAAATCAAATCCTTTTTATCGCCTTTGCTTTTTTCTCTCACCATATTCTGCCCCAAATCCGCCTCCAGCTCTTCTTATAAGCCTGCCACCAAATCCGATCGGCCAGGAAGACCACGATCGTGGTTGAAGAAATGCATCTAAAAATGATATTTTTTCTTGGCTTCCGCCTTTTCTGGTCCTTGCTTTCTTTAATCTAGCGCAAAAAAAATTTATGCTTTTTATAAAAATTGGGCTTATTTGGTCGGGATCGAAGTCCGATTTTCATTCAATTTTTTTTGCCAACCTTGGTCTTTAAATCCGGGCAAAAAGAGCTAGGGGATCCCTGGTTTTGAAAATGTCACTTTTGACGGGATTGCTCGAACAATTACACTAAGCCAAACCCTCAGAGGATTTGGAGACAATTTTAAATCAGGTGAACACAAATATGAACGCTTATTTATGGAAAAACTTTGGTCACCGGATTTTGCGTAAATTGCACACGTAAACACACGTATTCTGCAAATATTGTGCGACCAAAAGTGAGGATTTAGAGGTCCTTTTCGACTAATGCAATAAGTGAAAACTGAGGCTCATGTAATCGGCAACTTCAACAAGTTTGATGCCACAGCAACATTACACTTACAGAGCTGTGTAAACTTCTAGCAGCGTTCCGATGACGTTCCGAATCTGCGGCGAGGTCGTCAACTCCAAAAAAGCGATGAATAACGCGGTCATCCCGGAGTTTTGGACGACTATCCACCAGATGCAACGCCGAAGTACCTTGAAAAGTTATATGAAGTTAGAGAGTAAGAGTGGGAGAGCTAGACGGGGTGAGAGCGTTAGAGCGAAAAAGAGAATGAGCGAGAGAGCGGAGAGACATGACGGAAAATGAGAGTTAACTGCTTACCTTAAGCATCACAATATTTTCTTGGACCTGATATCTCCTTGATAAAGTATAGGTGTAATGCCGATTTTCTTGCATCTGCTTCTCCGCATTTCGATTCCAGCTGAGGACCCATTGGTCTAGCTAAAACCCAACTTTAACTGGAGCCTTAAAATTAGAAAGTTAGCGTTAAAGTGCCGTGCTAAAAAGCATAACTGAGATGGAAAAACTAACCAAAGCCACAGAAAATATAATCGGCACCACCAGGCAGGCGGTTAGGGTGATTGGGATTAGATCTGAAACTGATAAGGTTTTTATTGATTTTTTTTCTTTTTCCGCAGAATCTTTGCGTCACGATCCCTTTAAAACGGCTTACTAAATGTCAAAACAGCCGCCCCAATCGCTGCACTGACGAATTGAATAAGAATCAGTAAAACTGGGATCAGCGTCCAGCGTTTCTCCTCGTAGCGATCCATCCAGTACGAGGCCAGGAAGCGTTCGGCTGGCATGGTGAAGAGGGCTCCTGAAATTTGGAATTAAGGGGATAAGAAAGTAAAAAAGTCGACCTTTTCTACTCACTGGGTATCGACGACTACGCGCTATTCCAATTAACGCTAGCGCGAGGGAAAGAGGAAGAGAGTCAGGGCGAGAGAGAAAGCGAGAGAGACAGAGAGAGACAGAGAGAGAGGCACAGAAAAGGGAGACAGAGAAAGATAGAGAGAGAGAGAGGGAGAGAGAGAGAAAAACTGAGTGGGAGCTAGATAGAGAGAAAGAGAGAGAGCGAGATCGGGACAGAGAGAGATAGAATCGAAAAAATCGAAATTGAAGGAAAAAGAAAAAAAGAAGAAAAGAAGAAAATCGTAGAAGTCGAGGCGAAAAAGTATATTTTGCCCTTCCTAGCCCATTAAAAAAGACCTCTTATCCTTCCCCGTACCGTTAATCCAATTCCAATTTTTTTCTGCTTAACTCACCACCAAAACAGATGACCACAAATATCCGCGAATACGAGGCGGCAATTAGAGGTGGGGGCAGATCGTTGGAACCTGTAATTTAGAGCAAAGCACTATTTGTTTGTATCGTGCCAATTACCAAATTCATAGCCGGGGATGAGTTGGAAGCCGTACAGAATTATGATAATGTACGCCACGTAATAAACGTAGATCCCGATGATAGAGGCGCCGAATAGGATCAGGAGGTTTTGGTGGATCATCTAAAACTTGCTATTAGCTACCGTAATTCCAGATTTTTAAGGGGAAAACATGAAAATTCCGACGACCAAAATGCCGGCATCCAAAATCCCGACAGCCAAAATCCCGACATGCAAAATGGCTGTTGCAATGGAAAGGCCATTCACGCTCGCTTGAAATATATGTCGGCATTTTGCGTGTCGGCCTATTAGCTGTCGGGATTTTCCCTGTCGGACTTTTGGGGTGCCGGTATTCTAGCTATCGGACCATGCCCTGTCGGATTTTGCCTGGGATTTTGGCCTGCTCAGATTCTGGTTGTGGGGAATTGTCTTGTCGGGATTATTCTTTCGGTATTATGGCTGGATTAGACTCTACTACCTACCATAACGCTCCTCAACGTGTAACAAGCTATCGGGAACGTAAATAACGCGACGGTCAGCAGTATCGTGTTAAAAGCGTAGCAAAAATAGACCCAGGCCGGGAATTCTTCCTCTTGCAACGCCGTTGCGTTCAGGAAAACGAATATCGTATAGCCGGAGGAGAGGTACATTTTGTACGTAGTACGATCGCGTACTGAATGTAGCGTTACGTAGTAAAATAGCCGAAACACCCCAGAATACGAAAATACTAGTTTTCGGAGTGGTACAGAGTAAGGGGTATTGGCGGAAAGTACGGTAGCGTTACTCAGCTAGACCAGAACCGAGGAATATGGTTCTGTATAGTCGAAGACGAGGTGCGTAACGTAGCGTCGTGTAGCGTAACGTAGCGTAGCGCAACGTAACGTTGTTTAGAGCATGTAGTGCAAATGGCCTAGAGCGGCTGGGCGTAACGTTTCTTCGAGTTGCTTAGCGTAACGTAGCGTATCGTAGCGTATCGTAGCCTAGTGCCACGTAGCGCAACGTAGCGCAAAGGGATGCATCAAATCCGAAATAAAGAAGATAATTTTGCAGTTGTAGCGTACCGTGGCGATTCCGACAGTGAGGAAAATCTCGTCGTAACCTGGATTGAAGTGTACTAAACGTACTCTAGCGTAGGGTAGACAATGGAGGCGTATCTTGGGATTTTTTGTGTTTCTGGAGGTAGGAAGTGCCGGATGTACGGTAACGCCCGGAATTTGCTGCAGAATTTCAGACAAAAAAGGGCACACAGCTAACCGCCCAAAAATTTGTAGCCTAGCGTCTAGATGCCGAAATTTCAAGCCGAACTGCCTCCCTCAATTATAATTACCGTCCGGGACTTGAGGCCCACTTATTGGCGAGGGGGAGAAGCGGAAAAATCTCGGCGGGCTCGTAACCAGCCCGAATAACGTGTTTCAGCGGCGATCATCTATTATTCATTCCGCCGGTAGCGGAATCAGGCCCTTCGCGCCGCTTTTTGCTAATTGGGCCCGATTGTGGCGAAGGTTAGGGCGGAGGCCATGGGGCCCTGGGGCAACACTAATTACAAAAATTGGCTCGCTGGCGACGATGTTCCTGATTCTTGTTTTTGGGAACAGTGGACGAGGCAGCGATCTTTGACGCAAAGGCATTTAGCGTGGCGATCGAACGCGGAGTGAGGCAGAGACAAAGTCAGAGAGAGAGAGAGAGAGAGAGAGAGAGAGCGAGAGAGCGAGAGAGCGAGTAGGAGGGAGAGGGAGGGAGAGAGAGGGACAATGAGGGAGATAGGTAACTTATTACACCAAAACGTAGTGCCCACGTTACCCGGGTCGCAAAATTTCGAAATGCAGAGCCACCTGGATAGGATCAGCAAGCTCCATGGAGATCAAATCTCATCTACGATTTGCAAAAGTTTACGCTATGGAATTACGGATCATATTTTTTAAGCCCACAGCCTGAATTAAATTTTTTTTTAAAGTAAGCGTAACATTTGAAGGTACTTCCGAATTCCGAGGTAGGTCCTAAGGCCCGATCTATTTTTTCATGCTGTTATTTCCCCGTAGAAAAATTCCTATGCGTAAAGAACGCTTATTCCAAGGTCACGACGACTCACTTCAAATTCTATCCCCAAAATTGTTATTCCGCGCATCAAAGGCGCTCGTCCCAGGGCAGCGCTACCCTTTTTTGTTCGGTATTGACGGATATCGAGCAGGCGACGTTCACGTATCTTTCTCTCTCTCTCTCTATCTCTCTCTCTCTCTCTCCCTCTCTCTTCCCCGGCTATCCGATCGGAACATATGTTGTCGGGCTGTTTTCCCAGTCTCTCCCGGATCCACCAGCCGATCGAGAGGCGAGAGAGTCAAAAAGCCATGCCTGCCAAAATTCTCGCACTAATACTCGCCCTCGTGCCATTGATCCACTCGGCCGCTGATGTTGGTTTTTGATTTTTTTTTTGAGGCGTTCACATGCAAATTGGTGCGGACAAAATCGGCAATCGTAATTTGGCCCGGGTCGTTTTCGTACCGTTTTTCCTTCATTCCAATTTCTTAGAATTTCTTAGTTGGCAATGAGTTATTTTCAGTGAAATCTTTTGATCTAACTCTCATAGCTATAATTTTAATCGCAAATTTAAGTTGCAAAAAGAACAATTTTTAAATATTGACTTTAAACTAAAAGTATTTTGATCCCTTTGTATACTAAAAAAATATTTTTACAAATTTACAAATTATTTTGCAATATTTTGCAAGAAAATTCGTTTCAATGCTCCTTTCCATAAAGTATTTTGAAAAGGTCATTTAAGCGATTTGCATCTATCAAGTTAAAATTATTGACGTTTTGGTACAAATTTCCATGATTGCAGTTTAATTCATGCTCAAACATCTCATTAAATTGCCAATATTTGAGTTAACCCCCGAAATTTTAGTACATTCCAGCCGGTCTTTCTCTTCCAGCAGGTGTTAGCATTTCCATCAAATTCCAGCCGGTTCCCGAGGAGCTACAATGTGATGTGCGATGGCCCGCGTGCGTCGAGGGGTATTACTGTAACCCGGTGTGGGTATGCTCGAGCAGGTGGTGTCCGACGGCCGGGAAATGTACTCCGATCCGACAAGATGTGAGTCGTCTTTTTTCTTGTGAATAAAACTGCGTAATCTGTCTTTCCGTATTGGTGTATTCTCGCGCAATCATAGGTCTGAAGTCGGTTCGGTGATTTTGGTGTCGGAGTCGGTTCCGAACATTCAAAAAGCGTCAGCAAGAAGGAGAGAAATATCAAGGAAAGAGGGAGAGAGAGATATATAGAGAAAGAGAGAAGGAGTGAGAGCCAAGAGAGAGCGAGAGAGAGAGAGAGAGAGAGAGAGAGAGCGCGAGCGAGAAAAAGAGAGCAATAGAAAGCTAGAAGGTCAGCGAGAGAAAGCAAGAGGAAACGAGAGAGCGGTCGGGAGAGTAACAGAGAGAGAAAGAGAGAGGGGGAGAGAGAGTGCGAAAGACAGCGATAAAGAAAGAGAGTTAGAGTCAGAGAGCGAACCAGACTCTGAGAGAGACTCGGCCGGAGAGAGAGAGCGAGAGGGAGCCAGCGAGGGAGAACGAGAGAGAAAGAGAAAGAGAGAGAGAGAGAGAGAGAGAGAGAGAGAGAGAGAGAAATAAACTGCGTTTTTCTTGTTCCCAAATAATCTCTGCTACCTTACTCTTTTTTCAGGCAACCAAATGTGATTTGCATGTGAAGAAAAACCCCTGCGGACGGTACCAATTTTGCGCAAAGCTCTCTAACGAAACGGAAGGGCGATGTGCCGAATATTTCCCCAGCCTACACGAGTTGACAAAAGACAATAAGCAGCTAGGTGCATGGCAATAATAAACTCTATACATTTATTCCTCCCACCCCCACCAGACAATTCAGCACAAGCAAGCGAGCACAACGACGGAATACAATTTACATCATCTCTTGTAGTGTCATGAGAGAAATGCTGTGGCGTAGGTGGAGCGTGTCCGCGTCTTGGAGAAGGTCGGGAACTTGAAGGCTAAAAGAAACAGTTAAACAATTTGTAAATCTTTTTGAAGATTTAGGGCCTTGGTACTTAGCTGTTAGCGGGGGGGGGCAGCGAAAGGAAACCGTTTTGATTTTTCGGTCTATTTTATAATGTCTTTTTATATTGTTTTTGCTGATTTTTCATTGCTGGAAAAAGATAAAAATGTTTTAGAAGATTTTTAAGCTGTAAAAGCTATATTATGCTCTTTAAATGTTTCCAAAATGTTAGCGGGATTCGAACACTCGAGAAAACCGTACTTGGATGCGCCTCCTGGAGCTCAAGAATGATCGGGCCGTAGCGCAGGTCCTGCGTCCGCTTGATGCTCGCCGCCATCGCGATACTGTTGACGCCAAGGAGCACGAGGAGGAGCCGGAGGACGATCGTTCCAATGGATAACCGCATGCTAAAAGGAGTACGTAAAGGTTACGGTCGCCCAAACAACTCAAAAAGTGATCGAAAATGATCGAAAAGAATCTTAGGGTTCCGACTCTCTCTCGGTCTCAAGGTTACGGTATTCCAAGAACACAAAATAGGGCCGCTGGCCCGAATTTTCCATAGAACTAAAAGTGCCAATTAAAATGTTCTATGGGAAGAGGTACGGTAACTATGGATTTAATAGGGTATATACAGCATTTTCTTCTTGGAAACGACGGTAGTTTCAAAAGCAAAATACCGGGTTCTAACGGTGTATACGGTACCGAGAGGAAGCCAAATTGTCGATAGAGAGAGGGGGAAAGGCTGTGATTTCGTTAGTAAATGTAGCCACACGAGGCCGGTCGGTTGCGTCATGTCTGAGGTACAGTAACCCTGCCCCCGGCCGGCAATGGGCTACTGTACCTCGACGGTAACCCGTCCAGAAAATAGCGATCAAAGTATATAAGCTGTTAATTCGCTTATAAGGGCAGATCAGGCCGGACTTTATTTAAAAATGGCGGGTATTTTAATCGTATTTTTCGAAGAAGAAAATCTGAGGGCTTAAAAATTATGGAAGCCGGTTTCCCGACGAACTGAAGGCTGAAAAAGCTGGTCAAGGTGCTTCTTACGCGCAGAAATTGAGACTACCGTACCTAGCATTGAATTTAAAGTGTTTACCTAGTGATTATACCCGTTTAATGAAAGGCCCATCAAAACAAAGAACAGATAGAAGACCAAAAACTTGTGAAATACCATGAATCCCATTATTACCGACCAGGAAAACAGGTAAAACACTGCGAAAAATCTCGTCCTGCGCGCTACAATTTATGGGCCCGGGTTTTACGCATTTGTGACGAATTTGACGTAGCTTTCCGGGGAAGTGGTGTGAGCATTGAGCAAAGCAGAAGCAGAGAACACTGGGTTTTGAAATTGCCAAATTTCCGAAACACTCCGCTCTGACGCATAAGTTCCACGTTGTTTACAAAGTAAACACAACGTATGCGTTGAGTCATTTTTGTCAAGGGGTCTAGAAAAACGAGTACTTCTTGGGACTGAAAGAACAAAATGTAAGTTCGGGTTCACACGAGTTGATAAAAAAAGGAGTTACAAGTTCTTGCTCCCGTACGTCGAAACGGAGACTAAAGATAAAGGCGTAATGACGAAATATATATAAAGAGAGAGAGAGAGAGAGAGAGAGAGAGAGAGAGAGAGAGTTAGAGAGCCTGCACGAGATA